CGATCGGGGGTGTAGTAGTTCCTCAGATACGAGTGGAGCACCTCCCGGTCAATCTTTGCGATATTTTCTGCGGGGCAGAAGCGGTGAAGGCCAACCGTGTTTTCCCTATAAGCGGCCTGAGAAAGGGCACAAGGGAAGCACAGGTGACAAGGTGGACACAACCAGGGACCTCACTTGAGGGGCAGCCCACCAGCTGCTTTTTTTAGCTACGGTTTGGCAGCAGCAGTTTCTTGTGTTCATAGCAATAGTAAAACCTACCTCCCCAAAGTGAAAACTCATTAAACTGAAATAAAACTCATTCTAGAGATGGAGTGGGAAGGATCCTGTTACTGTAAGAATTGGAAAATCAAGGACTTGTATCAACAGCAGCTCCAGAAATTAAGAATGTTCCATCAACACCCATAACATGCAGGGATGACATCAGGCAGCAAGCACCCGCTCGACTGCGGGGCTCAGGAGGGCCACCAGGGGGAGGTGGGGTGCTGGGGGGCCTGTTTTACCTCGTGAACCATCTCCGTGAGAAGCGGCTCTGGGTCCGGCCGCATACTGAGGTCCTCCAGCTCAAACCGAACAGCCATTCGCGCCATCTCAAGCTCCTCATCTGCGAGGAACCCAACACGGGACTCAGACCGCGCAGGCCAGGGTGGAGGCCGCGCCGGGCACGAGCTGCCAAGCTGGGCTGTTGGTGGTCGCTGGATGTGCGCAGTCTCCTCTGCCTTCACCAAGGGCAGACCCAGGGGCAGTTGTGGGAGCAAGGGGGAGCGTGCGCCTTGTGGGCAGGGACCTGTAGGCATCAGGCCGCTCATCTGGCTGTCACGAAGCAACCGCCTGGACCTGCTCTGAGCCTTGGCTTACTCCCCAGAGAGGCACGCAGGGCCCTGACCTGTCTGTCCGGAGTGCTGCTGTGAGGGTAAGAGGACACTGGATGTTGAGGTGCTCAGAACACAAAGCCACGCCCAGCACCAGGTGCTGTTTCACCAGCTCACTGGGACGAGTGCAGTCTTAGAAAGCGAAGGCCAGGCTGCTGCGAGAGGACCGTTAGGCTGCCTGGAGCACTCAGCACGGCCCTCTCTCCTGGCCCCCTGCTGGCACGGAGCTCAGAGTCCCGCGTCTGCAAGGCCAAGGACGGGAGCATAGGCTGGCACAAGGACATTTTTAGTGGTGTGCCAGTCAGGGCATTCAAAGACAGTCTGCGATGCCTTTCTGAAACCAAAGAACCAATTTCTCTAGAAATGCCAAAGGACAGAGAATACAGTGCTCTTTCCAGGGGCGGCCTCCACACACCTCCAGTCCAGCCCAGACCCCTCGGACAGCCCAGACATACCTGTCAGCCTGGGGTGCAGGACCACGTCAGCCAGCAAGCCGACCACTGTGTCCAGGCCTTTAGAGTCAGCAGACACAGCATACATGGTGGTGTCTCTGGAAAGACACAATGCCAGGCACTAAGGTCGCAGCAGACACAAGCCAGCAGGGATGTTTTCATCGATTTGCATTAAGGATCGGCACAGGCTTGGTGCTTTTGCCTTTCCCATCTTAGAGTGACTCCCAGTGGGCCAACCCTGACCCTGGCTGAGTGCTGGAGTGAAAGGTGCTATCCAGCCGAGATGGGCAGAGCCAGGCCTCGGTCCCTACCAGCACAGCTCCCTCCACCGTGGGCCACTTCATACCTGTGCTTTCTGCGTGTCTGCTACATGGACTGACTGCAGGGTATGGAAGCATGTTTGGCTTCATTGGCTGGGGGGACTGACAGGCCAGAGCACTAGCCCCAGCAGAGGCACTGCAAGCAGATGTGCCCAGTGAGTCAGCCAGGCTGGCACAAGCAGACCAACCAGAGCCTGAGGTGGGGCAGGAGACTGAGGAACCAACACAAGGCCACATGGACTCCACCAAGCCTGAAAGGGGACATGGCCACCAGTGTGTCTGCAGAAGGGTGGCTCTCAGCGAGGCCACAGCACTGCATGGGGAGGGTAGGACAGCAGCCTGAAGGGAAGAGTGGGCTGTGGGGGTCAGGATACTGCCTGCCTGCCCCAAGGAGGAGCTGCCTGGGAAGACAAGATCTGAGGCAAGAACACAGAAAGTCTCACACACTAGGCCCTGAGTGCAGACTCTGCACACAGGCAGCTGGAAGCCTCCAATTTCCAATGAACCTTTTTTGAAAATGTGAAAAAGCTGCCTCCAATCTCTTAGTGTACTTTTCCAGCATCCAGATGTAAATAATCAACCTCTGAAAGAAGTGTGATCTCTGTACACCCATCTCACACTGATCTGAGAAGAGCATTCTGAGGGGCTCCATGTGGGGCATCCACCACCTACCCTTGTCTACAGCGCCCCTACCCAGTCTGCACCCCAGCTGCATCCGGGACCTCACACTCTCCCCAGTCAGGACTGCTCCCTGGCCTGTGCCATGCCGCCCACTCCACCCCTTGCTCTGTCTGGCAAACTCCTTCTAGGACCAGCCCCAACATCACCTGCTATCACTCCTTTCCTGACCCCAGACCTGGCCAGCTGCTTTCCCCCCACGCTCCCACCACCCCTAGCTCCTGGTTCTTGGGTCCATCACCTGTGGTGCAGCACTCGGCCTGATCTGTGAGCATCTTGGGGCAGGGTCTGCTTTGCATCCCCAGTGCCCAGCCAGCAGCCTCCTGGGGACTTCGTGGCCCTTGAAGCGTGCTCCTCTGTGTAAGTGTCACCACCTGTGGGCTTTGCCCATCCAATTCTCCACCCAACTCCACCTAGGCCAGCGCTGGCTCACCATAACCTCCAGAGCCTCTCTGGTGGGAGGGGCTCAGTGGGACTCTGACCAAGGATGAGAAAGTTCCATGTGATTGCAAAACAAGCTCTTAAAGTGAAAACTGGAGTACCTTGACGTCTGGCAGTCACAGATACCCCCATGCTTTTCCAAGGTAAGCAGAATCTCATCCTTGCTGTCAAATCGATCAGTAGACTAGTAAAAAGCAAAGAAAAAAACTAATCAAGATAAGCAATTCCTAAAATACAGTTAAGAAGAAAACTTACTTTTTCTTTCAAAGAACACATGAAATTCAAATTACTTTTTAACTTCAAGATCGCTCGTTAACATTAACTTGGCAACTTAACCATTCATCAAAATAACCATTCTAAAAATGCGAAACTTGATTCTTCCCAAATATAGTCTCAAAAATCACAGATTGGACACTGACCGAAAATGCCAATTTTTCCAGAAAGTGAGCAATTCCACTAAGATATTTTGCTTCATATCTTGATCCTGAATTAATAAGAACTGGCAATAAAAAAAAAAATGGACAAGTTAAGTCAAATGTTCAAAAGTGAAGTTTAATCGAGAAACCTTTCAAAATCACAAATGACTAAGCAGCAAAATTGAATTACAGGAGGGTGACGGACATGTAATGGATCGTTATCTTGATCACGGGAACAGTCACACAGCTATAAGCGTTCGCCAACAGTTACGGATGTGCCTATTTATCCGTGGTGGTAAACTTTTAGAATGAAAGGTAGAAAAAGGGAAAACACCACCCCCAAATTGGCCATGGTTCGTAGTTTTCAGACCTCATACCATGCTCCCCCTCACGAATACAATTCTTAGAGGATGTCCTCATTGCGACAGCCCACGGAAGCGCGCGGTGGTAAAACAAACGGGCCACCCGAAGCCGCACCAACAGTACTTACTTCCCACCGTACAGAACTGCCCAAACTTATTTTGGGATGCCACGCGAAGCCCATTGTCCAGTGTGGTGACTCTGGTTTCAAACTTTTCCTGTCCATCAACTGCAGCGAAGACGGGCTTTGGTACTCCAGGTAAGGGCGACGAGAGCGGGATGTCGGGACAGGCACCGCCGCTGCTGAACGGTCTGTGCGCGGGGGCTCCGGGGCTGAAAGGGGGGCGGCTGGCGGTCACGCAAGACACAGGCACCGGGCCCGTGGTGGCCGCTCAGGCGCCGTCGGGCGCATTCCGTCTGCCTTGCAGGCAACACCTCCCTTTCTGGAGGACCTTTTCTACACTCGAGAGACAACGCGGAGCATGTTCAAGAGCCCCATCGCTGGGTGCAAACTCTGGCTCTACCCAGGGACTCCCTGCCATCTCTGTGCGACAGCGACGACAGCGCCTCGCTCCGACGGAGGCGGCGGGTCGCCACAGCCCTTGGCCGGGCGTCTGTCCCCTGTCCGGCCTGCCGCGCGCCCACCGGCACCGTGCCCCTGGCGGGACGCTTCCCGCCATCTCTCGGCTCGAGTACCACGTCCTCGGACGGCAGCTACCCCTCGTCGTTTTACCTGTACTTTCCGTTACTTTCTGCCACTGAACGCTGCTTGCTTACTTAAGGGCATTTAAGGGGCTGCTGACTGTGCTACTGTCTGTGGCCACTGCGCGGGGACAGCAACGGGCGCGGCCGAGGCCAGCTGCGCCTGCACGAGGGGCCCGGCCGCCTGCGCGGGAGGGCGGCGGGCGCTGGAGACGCCGGGTACCGCAGAGACGCGGCCCAGCCGTCCGGGGCCCGGCCCCAGGGCGGGCGGAACCGCGGCTCTGCGGGCCTGAAGGCGCCCAGGCTAACGCGTCACGCGGCCCGGGACGGGGCCCGCTGGCCGGGAGAGCGGGGGAGAGGCTCGGCGGCCGGGGAATGAGCGGCGGCCGGGGCCTGAGGCCCGGGACGCCCGAGGGGAGGCGCCCCAGTCGCTCCGGGGACGAGGCCGGGGCCCCGCGGTCCGAGCCCGACCGCGCGACGCCGCGCCTGGGAGCGGGGACGCCACGGGCAGAACGTCCGTTGGGACGCGAACCGCCCCGGGACACGGCCGCCGGCCGCCCCTCGGCCCGCTCTCGGCTCACCTCGGACGCGAGCGGCGCCAGGGGCCCGAGCCTCGCAACAGCCGCGTCGCCGCCAGCAACATAGCCGCCATCTCGTGTCTCCGCCCGCCGCCTCTGTCGTCACTTCCGCTTCCTTCCACGACATCCCGCCCACTTGGCACGGGCCCGCGGCGCTGCGACTCGAGCTTCCGGTGCGCAGAGCGGAAGCCGCGGCCCGAGGCTCGAAACGGCGGGTGGGCGGCGGGTGCGGGCACTTCGGCCCGCGGCGTGGGCAGAGCCGGGGCCATGGAGCCGCTGCTGTCGGGCTAGGGAGGGCCGGCGCTGCCGGGTCCGCGGCGATGGCGGGCTATGCGCGTCGTCCGGGCTTCCCTCCGCTGTCGCGAGCCCAGAGCCTCACCATTCCTGATGGTGAGTGGCGGGGGCCGGGCCGGGCAGCTGGGTCGTGGGGCTGGGGGCCGGGGCCGTCCAGCCGAGCGGCCGCGCCCCACCCCGGGGCCCCTCGCCCCCGTGAGGTCCCGCCCAGGCGGGCACGCAGAGCGCGCGGTGAAGTCGCTCTTGTTATTACAGCTCCAGCGTTCTATGAGCGCCGGTCCTGTCTCCCCCAGCTAGGCTGTGAGCGCCCCCGTGGCAGGGATCTGGACTCCCACTTCTTCGGCATTCGGCCGACGTTTATGTGCTATGTACCCAGTCCAGTGCTAGCTTCCGTTGGAGGCACAGGTGAGAGACAAGCCGCAGGGACCCATGCACCCGCACTACCGTAGGTCCCTGGCTGTAGCAGTGACTCGCCCCTTTACCCAGCAGTGAGCACTGAGAGCCACTGCCTGCCAGGCAGCAGGAATACAAGGTGCAGAGTGGTTCCGCCCGCTAGGACCTCACAGTCTAGTTTTGGGGACACCCCTGCCCCAGACAATTCAGTATGGGGTGGCAAGGTGCCACAATGGAGGTATACCCAGTGGGAACATAGGAAGCCACCTCCCTTCCAGGTGGTGGTGGGGATGGAAAGGAAGTCTTCGTCCAGTAGGTCGTGATGGAAGCCATCTAGCAGCTGGCAGTGACCGGCGTCAGTTACTCCTCCCTGAGCAGCTACACTGCCAGCTGTCCAGGGTGCGCAGCAAGCATTTAAGCATCAAGGGTCTGAGGGGCTATTGGCAACTCACAGAGGCACTCAGGAGGTATCACAAGGCATAGGGGGATATGCACAGCCCTTGAACATCAAAACCCACTGGGTGCTTTTTCAGAATCACAGATGGCAGGGCCCTTTGGAAGTCAAACCATCTCCAGGGGCAGGAGCCTGGAGCTTCGGTTTTTAAAAAGTTCCCCAGAATATGAGAACCACTGTAATAGGGACCTCTTGTCAAAAAAAAAAGTGGTCATGATGGTGTGATGGTGTCTCTGTAGATTTTGGCTTCGGAAAGGGGTTAGGTGCTAAGCAAGGCCCATCAGGAGCCCAGGAGATGCATTTTGGAGGTGGAGCAGTTCTGCAATCTTTTCTTTTTCTCTCTGACATGCAGTGCCAGGCACGTGTCCAATTGCAAGTTGTTGGTTTGACAGCCTGTAACTAGCACACCTGGAGCAAACTGGGCACAGGAGCCCCTGATGTATGAGGAGCATGGGCCCAGGGACACGGGGAGGTGGGGGCTGCAGCTGGGAGGTCTGAGGAGACCGTGAGTGCCAGGATTACGTGAGTGAACCACGAACAGTTGGCACATGGACTTAGGTAACTGGTGACCGAATTGGCCAGTTTGGTACTGAGAGCAGGAAGGAAGTGGGGAGAGAGAAGGGAGAGGTGGGTGTTTGGGTAGGGAAAAGGAGAGGCTGAGCAGTGATCCCCAGTATGGCTGCCCCTTTGGGCCTCTGACAGCCCCCGGTGGAGGCTGTGCCGCAGACTAACCAGCAGTCCACGTGGGAGGGGAAGCACATCGTGGTCTAAAGATTCCCAGGTTGTCTCCATGGGCAACAAGGAATGGGAACCGGGGTTGGGATTGGGAGGGAGAACTCAGCACGCAGAAGGAGAGCTGCCGTTGGCCAGCTTTCTCATTTCCTAGTGTCACTGAGCTCTGGTGGAACAACGGGTGGCATTCTAGATTTTAGATGTGGTCATGTTCTGGCAAGAGAAATGATCTCTTAGTGACCTTGAGGAGACTGCACCTGTTGACATCCATTATTATTTCAGATGATAAGCTTAAAGACCTTGAAGAGGCAAATCCCTTCTCCTTTAAAGAGTTTCTAAAAACTAAGAACCTCAGCCTGTCGAAAGAGGACACAACCAAGCGTAGAATCTACCCAAAGGTAAACCTGAGGAGTTGTATACAGTGACCTCAGACAGAAAAGGCCTCCAGAGCACCTCTCTCGGGTTGCTCGCACCTTTGGAGGAGACAGTGCAGGAGTCACGGGGCGGGCAAGGCAGTGCCAAGACGAGTGGGGAGGTCGTGTGGGTTGGGGAGATTTCCTGGTGAATGACATTGGGCCTCCCTTTTTGTCCCGGTGGTGAGTATCCAGAAAGAAAGGTCTGCAGTGGCTTCTGGGCCTGAGCCCTGCCTCCCACCATTCCTTTAGGAAGCCACGAGGCACTTGCTGGGGCTGGACCGCAGCTCCCCAACCTCCCAAACCACGGCATATGATCTGGATTATCAGCAGCCGTTTTTTGAAGATCTAATAGGAGCTGGTGACCTCCTGGATGCGGACGATGAGGATGAGGACAATGGGTGGAATGGGGCCTATCTTCCATCCACTGTGGAGCAGACCCACTCCTCAAGGGCCACTGCCAGCACGTCGCCCTGTGGCACATACGTCTCCTTTTTTTCCGACCCATCAGAGCTGGTGGGGCCCGATGCTCTGCACCCGTGGACACTGAGTGGCTCCGACTCTCGTGTCTCTCCGGTGGGGAGCCCCAGTGCAGACTTCACAGCCCACGGAGAGACGCTGGGGGACAGGCACCTTCGGACACTGCAGATAAGTTACGAAGCAGTAAGTGAGGGGCTGTGTGGCGGCATCTGAGAGGCTCAGAGGAGACTGGTGGCCTGGAGCTTTGGCTGCAGGTTGGGTGCAGCAATCCGCTAGTCTCCCCTTGTCTCCCCTAGCTGCCCAGTCACCTCTGTCAGCATAGCTGCCTCTGAAGGGCTGTGGAGTGTGGCCCTTCTGGGGCGTGAACTGAAACAGTTGAGGCCCTCAAAGGGCTGTCCTCTCCGAAAAGCATACGGTCTGGCCATCAGCTCAGGACATGTTGCCAAGTGCTCTGAGTAGAGGAGATTTTTGAGGCCTTCAGGAGACTTTGCACCTGTGAAAAGTGAAACAGGAGTCTGTGATCATAGGCCCTTAAAAAGTAGACATTTTTATTCTTGGTTTTTCTCTGTAAGCAGATTATAGGTTGACTCTAGAATATTCCTGTTTATGAAGAAGTTCCAGAGCCAAATTGCAGATGACAGACCCCTTTTGAGTGAGACATACTGAGTTTCTAATAAGGATTTTCTTTCTCTACAGCTGAAAGATGAAAATTCTAAGCTAAGAAGAAAGCTGACTGAGGTTCAGAGCTTCTCTGAAACTCAAACAGAAATGTATGTAAGCTTTTAGTTAGGATCACAATTCAAAACATCTTCAACACGGCCAATTTTTAAAAGATAATGAAGTGATTAGAGTTGAGTTGAGCTGGGTTTTATTGTATGTAAATCCTCAGCATTGAACACGGTTCCTGTGTTCTGTGTAAAAGCTTATTTTAAACATTAGACCAAAACCAACTGCGGCTGACGAGCTGACCGCTGAGGGTGCCCTCGCTGAGGTCATCCCGGAACAATGGGCTCCTAGGGTTCTCAGCAAATCAACCCAATTAAAACGCCTTTGAGAAGCTGCCTTAGCGTTGCCCCCCTGAGTCATGAAGGGCTCTGTGTTTCTCATGAGGGTGAGGACACTGGAGAGGAAACTAGAAGCAAAGGTGATCAAGGAGGAGAGCGACTACCGTGACCTGGAGTCTGTGGTTCAGCAGGTGGAGCAGAATCTGGAGCTGATGACGGTACGTGGGGAGAGCCGCTCTCCCCAGGGAGGGGGCTGTGGCCTGCAGGCCTGCTCCCCCAGGTGGGCGCTGTGACTTGTTGGGTCCATGTCACTCCTGAGGGTGGACCCAAGCCCTGCTGTGGCAGGGGGGACGTGTATGTCTGGGTGGGTCCCAGAGGCTTTTAGCAGAGGTGCAGGTTCTGTGAGAAAGGGTCCCTCGCCCCACGCCACCTGGTTGGGCTAGCTGGAAGGGGGTGAGGGCGGAGGGGCTGCGAAGGGGTGGACGGGTCCTGCACCCGTATTGCATGTCAGTGACGCTCTTTGTTTTCTGGGGAGGGATAACAGAAACGGGCTGTAAAGGCTGAAAATCACGTCATGAAGCTGAAACAGGAAAAAGGCTTGCTCCAGGTAATTACAGGTCTCAGACATTTTTATGTGTGTGCAAATTCAGGGAGTTTCCAGAAAAGACTGGAAACATCAGCTGGGGCTTTCCCTGCCCAATAGATGGAATACCTAAAACCAGAACCACGCCCGCTGCCCTCTGGGGCCTTAAGGAGGGAAACAGTTCCGTGCGGTTTCTTCCACCTGATGAGAGCCACGGGCACTCACTGTATTACTGGGCGGCTTGTGCACGTGGGCAGGCTTCTCACTTCTGTAGATGGGTGCTGAGGATAGGCTGAAGTCCAGGACGCTGTCAGGCCCACCTATATCTCTTGGGAGCACCCCCCCCCACACATACTTGGAAGGAGCTCCTGTTGCTGTGGGGCCAGGCCCCCACCCCTCAGCTGCCGTGTTTGGGGTTGCACCCCTGTTCAGCAGGGAAGGTTCTTGCACTCGCTCACCACTCTCCGCCAGGCACAGGTGTCTAACTTCAGGCGGGAGAACGAAGCCCTGCGGTCCGGCCAGGGCACCAGCCTGACTACGGTGAAGGAGAACACCGATGTGGCCTTGCAGAACCTCCGTGTCGTCATGAACAACGCACATTCCTCGATAAAGTGAGTGCCCGGGGGCTGGGGTCAGCGCTGGCAGGTGGCCCGTAGCCTGGAAGGACTGCGCTTAGCACTGGTATTCAGATTGCTGGGGCCTTCGGGCTTCAGGAGGGGCAGTGCGCTGGACAATCTGTTAATGCCAAGGTCGCAGGATGTGTACTCGGACAGCAGGCTCTTGAATGGTAATAGCCATACTTACCTGAGCATTAATGTCAGACAGGCAGGAAGCTCTGCTCCTTTGCTTACAAAACACCAAAGTTCTAAATGAAAAGGAGTATTTCCTCTAGTTGTAGAAAACAAATTCATAGACGACCACAGTGCAGCGCTTGGCATGGTGAGGACGCTGGAGCATCAGCTGCTGCCCTCATGGATAAGCACCATCGCCTGCCTGCTGCAGCTGAGCTCTGCAGGGACAGCAGTGCCCAGCCCAGCAGGAGCATGGTGGGCATAACTAAGCCCATTCCACTTAGGTTTAGTGCCAGTCTCTTCAGAGTAAATCTAAGATTTTAAAAAACCTGCACTTTTCTCTCAAGCCTCTTGGCTTTGATGCTTGTTCTCGCTGTTGAACAGTTGTAGCAGCATTTATCATCCGTGTTTCCTTTTAGGCAGCTGGTTTCTGGAGCTGAAACATTGAATCTTGTTGCTGAAATCCTTAAATCCATAGACAGAATTTCTGAAATTAAAGACGAGGAGAAGGAGGAGACAACGGCAGAGTCTTGAGAACCACTGAGATGCTTCCAGCTCACAGCTGTTTACATCCTGAAATCAATACTTACTGGATTTGAAAACACCATTGTGTCTTTAAAATGCAGTCTTCACCTGTAGTAAAAATATTTTATCACTAGGTACTAATTTCATGACCTAAAACAGTATTAGTTGTCAACGGCAATGAGGAGCAGCTCCTGTACCTGTGAGCTGCACCTGTAGATTCTATGCAGCCCTTCTGGGTGAACTCCCCACTCTTTTATGGTTTTACTCTCGTGTCTCTCCGGTGGGGAGCCCCAGTGCAGACTTCACAGCCCACGGAGAGACGCTGGGGGACAGGCACCTTCGGACACTGCAGATAAGTTACGAAGCAGTAAGTGAGGGGCTGTGTGGCGGCATCTGAGAGGCTCAGAGGGGACTGGTGGCCTGGGGCTTTGGCTGCAGGTTGGGGTGCAGCAATCTGCTTGTCTCTCCTTGTGCTGCCCAGTCACCTCTGTCAGCATAGCTGCCTCTGAAGGGCTGTGGAGTGTGGCCCTTCTGGGGCGTGAACTGAAACAGAGTTGAGGCCCTCAAAGGGCTGTCCTCTCAGAAAAGCATACGGTCTGGCCATCAGCTCAGGACATGTTGCCAAGTGCTCTGAGTAGAGGAGATTTTTGAGGCCTTCAGGAGACTTTGCACCTGTGAAAAGTGAAACAGGAGTCTGTGATCATAGGCCCTTAAAAAGTAGACATTTTTATTCTTGGTTTTTCTCTGTAAGCAGATTATAGGTTGACTCTAGAATATTCCTGTTTATGAAGAAGTTCCAGAGCCAAATTGCAGATGACAGACCCCTTTTGAGTGAGACATACTGAGTTTCTAATAAGGATTTTCTTTCTCTACAGCTGAAAGATGAAAATTCTAAGCTAAGAAGAAAGCTGACTGAGGTTCAGAGCTTCTCTGAAACTCAAACAGAAATGTATGTAAGCTTTTAGTTAGGATCACAATTCAAAACATCTTCAACACGGCCAATTTTTAAAAGATAATGAAGTGATTAGAGTTGAGTTGAGCTGGGTTTTATTGTATGTAAATCCTCAGCATTGAACACGGTTCCTGTGTTCTGTGTAAAAGCTTATTTTAAACATTAGACCGAAACCAACTGCGGCTGACGAGCTGACCGCTGAGGGTGCCCTCGCTGAGGTCATCCCAGAACAATGGGCTCCTAGGGTTCTCAGCAAATCAACCCAATTAAAACGCCTTTGAGAAGCTGCCTTAGCGTTGCCCCCCTGAGTCATGAAGGGCTCTGTGTTTCTCATGAGGGTGAGGACGCTGGAGAGGAAACTAGAAGCAAAGGTGATCAAGGAGGAGAGCGACTACCGTGACCTGGAGTCTGTGGTTCAGCAGGTGGAGCAGAATCTGGAGCTGATGACGGTACGTGGGGAGAGCCGCTCTCCCCAGGGAGGGGGCTGCGGCCTGCAGGCCTGCTCCCCCAGGTGGGCGCTGTGACGTGTTGGGTCCATGTCACTCCTGAGGGTGGACCCAAGCCCTGCTGTGGCAGGGGGGACGTGTATGTCTGGGTGGGTCCCAGAGGCTTTTAGCAGAGGTGCAGGTTCTGTGAGAAAGGGTCCCTCGCCCCACGCCACCTGGTTGGGCTAGCTGGAAGGGGGTGAGGGCGGAGGGGCTGCGAAGGGGTGGACGGGTCCTGCACCCGTATTGCATGTCAGTGACGCTCTTTGTTTTCTGGGGAGGGATAACAGAAACGGGCTGTAAAGGCTGAAAATCACGTCATGAAGCTGAAACAGGAAAAAGGCTTGCTCCAGGTAATTACAGGTCTCAGACATTTTTATGTGTGTGCAAATTCAGGGAGTTTCCAGAAAAGACTGGAAACATCAGCTGGGGCTTTCCCTGCCCAATAGATGGAATACCTAAAACCAGAACCACGCCCGCTGCCCTCTGGGGCCTTAAGGAGGGAAACAGTTCCGTGCGGTTTCTTCCACCTGATGAGAGCCACGGGCACTCACTGTATTACTGGGCGGCTTGTGCACGTGGGCAGGCTTCTCACTTCTGTAGATGGGTGCTGAGGATAGGCTGAAGTCCAGGACGCTGTCAGGCCCACCTATATCTCTTGGGAGCACCCCTCCACACACATACTTGGAAGGAGCTCCTGTTGCTGTGGGGCCAGGCCCCCACCCCTCAGCTGCCGTGTTTGGGGTTGCACCCCTGTTCAGCAGGGAAGGTTCTTGCACTCGCTCACCACTCTCCGCCAGGCACAGGTGTCTAACTTCAGGCGGGAGAACGAAGCCCTGCGGTCCGGCCAGGGCGCCAGCCTGACTACGGTGAAGGAGAACACCGATGTGGCCTTGCAGAACCTCCGTGTCGTCATGAACAACGCACATTCCTCGATAAAGTGAGTGCCCGGGGGCTGGGGTCAGCGCTGGCAGGTGGCCCGTAGCCTGGAAGGACTGCGCTTAGCACTGGTATTCAGATTGCTGGGGCCTTCGGGCTTCAGGAGGGGCAGTGCGCTGGACAATCTGTTAATGCCAAGGTCGCAGGATGTGTACTCGGACAGCAGGCTCTTGAATGGTAACAGCCATACTTACCTGAGCATTAATGTCAGACAGGCAGGAAGCTCTGCTCCTTTGCTTACAAAACACCAAAGTTCTAAATGAAAAGGAGTATTTCCTCTAGTTGTAGAAAACAAATTCATAGACGACCACAGTGCAGCGCTTGGCATGGTGAGGACGCTGGAGCATCAGCTGCTGCCCTCATGGATAAGCACCATCGCCTGCCTGCTGCAGCTGAGCTCTGCAGGGACAGCAGTGCCCAGCCCAGCAGGAGCATGGTGGGCATAACTAAGCCCATTCCACTTAGGTTTAGTGCCAGTCTCTTAAGAGTAAATCTAAGATTTTAAAAAACCTGCACTTTTCTCTCAAGCCTCTTGGCTTTGATGCTTGTTCTCGCTGTTGAACAGTTGTAGCAGCATTTAACATCCGTGTTTCCTTTTAGGCAGCTGGTTTCTGGAGCTGAAACATTGAATCTTGTTGCTGAAATCCTTAAATCCATAGACAGAATTTCTGAAATTAAAGACGAGGAGAAGGAGGAGACAACGGCAGAGTCTTGAGAACCACTGAGATGCTTCCAGCTCACAGCTGTTTACATCCTGAAATCAATACTTACTGGATTTGAAAACACCATTGTGTCTTTAAAATGCAGTCTTCACCTGTAGTAAAAATATTTTATCACTAGGTACTAATTTCATGACCTAAAACAGTATTAGTTGTCAACGGCAATGAGGAGCAGCTCCTGTACCTGTGAGCTGCACCTGTAGATTCTATGCAGCCCTTCTGGGTGAACTCCCCACTCTTTTATGGTTTCTAATCGATTGGGAGACATTTTTATAAAAGCCAGTGATATGTTACGGTTACTAAACATGAAAACAGTAGTTCCGTAGTGTTTCCATCGTCATTCCAGAACATTAACTGTAGGAGGCCGAGGTGGAGGCCAACCAATGTCTCCGTGGGGCCTGCTTTCACATCCTTAGGTGTGGGGCACTGAATCCCCCGTGCCCTCCGCAGCCCGGTCCTCCGTGGCTGCAGCAGCCACAGCTAATCGATTGCCCTTGATTTTGTGAGCAAAGACAAACACTAAATGAGCCATAAACCAAACGATCACCTTGGACAGGGACTTGTGCCTTTTTGCCACCACTCTGCCCCCTCTGGCTCACTGTCCGTGCCTGTGGCCTTCACAGGGGTGGCTCCTGTGGCTGGTGGCCCGAGTGTGGACGCCCGTTTGGTGGGGACTGCTGTCCTCCAACGGACCAAGGTCAGCACTGGCATTCCATAGTGCAAAGCCATGTAAATGCACCTTTTGTGGGTTTTTAGACTTAAAAAACTGCTTTTGGCTGGAGGGTTTTCATACATTTCAAGTGGCATTTTGTACAGTGACGTGTAGAAGTCAGGAATATAGAGTATGTGCAGAGCCTTTTAGAGTTAGTTTGAGGTCTCCGGGTGCCTTTACAACTGCTCTCTGATGTAGGGAAGGCGTAACACACACTGTATGCCTCTGGCTGTTTGCCTGTAGACATTTTTTTAAATTTCCTCTTCCCCTCCTGTTCAGATTGACAGTTTATTTAATAAAGTCTAGAAGTCATGCACTGTCCTACATTTTCTGAATTTAGTTCTTTATGCTTGAGAATCACGCCGCTGTTGTCCTTATCCTGATGGGTGACTCGTGCTGTTAAATTAAGCATTGGTCTCCTGGCCCGTGAGACCAAAGGTGGACTCAGACCACCGCCTCGGGACCGCAGCCCTGAGTGTGGGTGGGGGATGCGCGGGGCAGATAGCCTGGTGTCCCCTCTGGCCACCTGCTCGTGGGCCTGACTGGGCCAGAAGGTGGCCTCCAGCCCTGACCCGATCTTCCCCTGCTGTGGCTGCTGCAGCCACGGAGGACCGGGCTGCGGAGGGCACGGGGGATTCAGTGCCCCACACCTAAGGATGTGAAAGCAGGCCCCGCGGAGACATTGGTTGGCCTCCACCTCGGCCTCTGCGCTTGGCGCCCCGTGGGGGCAGGCCGGGTGTGGGAGGAGCTCGTTGGCATGGGAGGAGCCGCGCCGCACGGCTCCTTCGTTCCAGGCGTCACTTGCCGCCTCCGCACCCGCTCGTGCGGCAGCGGTGGCCGCTGGAGGCTACGTCTCGAGGGGAGCCCGCTGGAGCCGCGCTGCCCGGGCCGAGCTCGTGCCGCCGACAGGGCGGCCCCGCGCTCCGACTGCCCGCTGGCCGCAGTGCTGGGGGCGGCCGCGCGGGGGCAGCAACGGCGCTGCCGCCCGAGGGCCCCGTCCCGGCGTGCCCTGCGCCGCTGCCGCGGAGGCGGGACTTCCGGCCCCCGGCCCCCGAGGCGCCGTCCGCCGGAAGCGCGGAGCGCGGCGGCCCTGCGCCGGTGAGGGCGGCGGGAGTCCGGGAGGCCCTCGGGCGGGGGCGGGCAGCGGGCGGCCCCCGGCCTCTGCCAGAGCAAACCTCAGGGAGGCGTCCGCGCCGCCCGCTGCCCCCCGGAGGAGACGGCGGGTCGGGCGGGCTTCCGGCCGAGTCGGCGGGTGACCCAGCGGCGCCGGAGCAGCGCCGCTGTGCGGGGCACCCGCTGGCGCCGGGGCCCGGCCCGGAGCGCCGGCGTCGCTGTGCCCCTTCGGCATTGACCGCGCCGTCGCCTTGTCCTCAGACCTCGTCCCTTGCCAGTTGTCCACTCCCGTTCGGCTTCCCCGACCGGTGCTCCCGAAAGACGGTTCTGGCCGCAGCGAGTGTTGGTTCGGTTCAGCGTGAGACGCTGTCACGTGCCAGGCGCTGGGGGTGCAGCGGGACCGCAAGGGGCCTGCCTTCCACGCCGGGGGCGCCCGCCCGCCGCGCAGTGCTGCCGTGCGCCTGGCTCTGTGCCGGCGGGGCCGCGGTCCCGGGCTCCCCCGCCGGGCCTCCGCCCAGGGCCTGCTGTGGTCAGGCTTCTGCCGTCTCTCGGGGAGGGGGGGGGGTGTCCGGCAGAGAAAGGGACTCCTGCGCACCCTTGGTTTCTGACGTCTTGTGTTGTGTTTTGTGGGCAGGCTGAAATCATGGATATAGATGCTGAGAGAGAAAAAATAACAAAGGAGATCAAGGAGTTAGAAAGAATTTTGGATCCCAGCTCCTCAAGTATCCACGTGGAGGTCTCAGAATCCAGCCTCGATTCAGATTCTGGCACAGGTAAGTGCCCACATGTGGTTGTGACGGCTGTGTCTGCCTCGGGCTCCTGTCGGCCACGTTATGCTGGGGCACAGCTGAGACCAAGCCTGTCTGCAAACCCGGCCTCTGCTTGACCCCACCGGACAGTTTGTTACCATCTCTCCTCCATCAGCCCCTTGACCTGCTGGCTGTGCATGAGTGCCCTGCCCTAGAGTGGCGTCTGCATCAGCCTGTTTGGGGATGGGAGGGGAGCTGTCTTCAGAATCGGAAAGTTGTAGAGTTCAGCGTGTCATCTGCCACCATGCCTGAATAGTCACCACAGCTGAGAGCCCCAGGGCTCTTCCCTGGGCTCATCCCTCCAGCCCCTCTCTGGGGCCCCTGCTGCCAAGGCACAACGGTCTGCCCACCCCACACGCTTCCCTCCTGTGGCCCCTGACTGGAGGCCTGCCTGCAGGGGCCAAGCTGTCCAGGGCCCCCCCAGACCCACCCACCTCTCCCAAGGCCCATGTGCAGTACTGAGGCCCAGCTTCTCAGTTTCCTGCCACACCAGGGCCTCTCTCACTTGTCATCAGGACATCTATGTCTGTCCCTTCTGCCCCACTAGTTCCAGCTGCCCCAGGACAGATTCAGCTCCTGTGGGGCCTCCCTTCATTGCCCCTGCGTGCCAGGGCACTTCACAGCAGGCCTGCATCTGCCCCTGGCTGGCCCTCCCCTTGGTCCAGTACCTACCCTGTGGCGCTCAGCTGCAGGGCACTGTCTGGGAGGGAAAGTCCATGACACCTCAGTGTCATCCTGTGGTTAGTCATCTGCTCCAAGCCCACTGGCCTCATCCCCTCCCTCCTCCCTGGCTGCCCGGGAAATAGGCCATGTGCTGCCTGGTCATTCTCCTGGGCATCTGTGGCATCACACCACTAGCCCCGGTTTCCACTGCCAGCTATCAACACGGTATGCTTGTGTTCCCACAGATTTGCTGTGTGATGACGATTCAGACGATGCTGGTCCCCCAGTCTCGGTAACTACTGGCTTGGGCCGGCTGTGCCCACTGAGGCCAGCCCACCATCCTTCCAGTGGGCCTGGGAGTGGGTGTGCCTTGAACTCATTTTGGCTTCTCTGTGTTATAAAAATAATGCACATTTGTTGTTTAGATGAAGTGTCAGAAAGCATCGATAGTGAAAATTTAAACTGTCCCTAGAGGTGACTGTTGTTAACAGTTTGGTATCTGTGCCTCCTTACTTGTCTGAGCTCCTCCCCACATGCACCTGTCTTGACACAGCGCCACATGCAGAAGGCTCCATGAAGGCTGCCGGCCCTGCCCCTTGTCACTCGCAACCCTGGGCCTTGGCCTCCCCCGGTCTGCCGCGGGCCGTTGCAGTACCAGTCAGCTGGCGGGCGGGCGGCACTAGGACAGTACCTGGCCAGCAGCCACTCAGTTGCACCAGTCACCGTGAACTACTCTTAGTTTATTTTGGGATTCCATGTTGTTTTGGGAAATGTTTACAGTTTGCCTTCTGTTTTCCCACCCAAGTCAGAGGCTGCACGGTTGCTCCCTGGCTTAGCGTCTGGGCGGCCCCTGCTATGGGTTTACCATCGGCCATGGTGTGGTTGACTCTGCCTTCGGGGGATGTTTGGCCCATCCCCAGTTTTCAGTTTTGTTGGCACTGCAGTAGCCTCCCTCGGGCGAGCTCTTCTCTGCCGCCTGCCAGTGGCGAGCCCATTATAAAATTCTGAATTGGCAGAGCTGTTTACTGGAGAAAGTGGAAACCACTCATCTTCTCACACTTCCCACCCAAAATGCATTCCTGGGTCGGGGGCCACGCACACGCTCTGCACAGTTGTGCCTCGGTGGTCTCGCGCTGGTCCAGTAGCTGGGACACGAGGCCCTGAGGAAGGGGGAGCATACGTGGCCCCAGTGCCCACCCACAGCCTCCCACTTAATGACCAGGAAGAGGACAGGTGGAGTGAGGCCAGCAATGGCGACGATCCCAAGGAGAAGGCCCTCCCCGAGGACCCAGAGACCTGCCTGCAGCTGAACATGGTCTACCAGGAGGTCGTCCAAGAGAAGCTGGCTGAGGTCGCCCTGCTCCTGGCCCAGAACCGGGAGCAGCAGGTAGGATGGGGCCCGACCCCGGGAACCCCTGGGCCAGGCCTCCGAGAGCCGGGGCTTTGGGTCAGGTTTGGTGCTTGGCTGCCTGGGTTCCCTGCCCCACAAGAACTGCTGCCTGGCCCACAGCTGGACTCCTTGTGTCCACCACAGGAGGAAATGATGTGGGGCCTGGCAGGGTCCAAAGGCCCCAAGGTGAAGGACGGCAAGAGCCTGCTCCCGAATCTGTACATAGGGCACTTCATGAAGCCCTACTTCAAGGACAGGGTCACTGGAGTGGTGAGTGGCCAGGGCCCTGCCCTCAGCACGGGGAGGGCCAGGCTCATGGTAGCGGGCTCCTATCCTTACTGCCGGGTGGCCTAAATGCCTTAGGGTTCTTCAGAATAGTGTTCTCCAGCCTTATTGAAACTTCCCGCTGAGTCCGGGGGTGGACGTCAAGGCCTCTCCCATGGGGTGGGGCGAGCTGACCTCTGCTCCGGGGACAGGTCCCCAGGGCGGGCCTTTCCTTAGGAGGTGCCACGGCAGGTGGCAGGGCAGGACTGTCAGTTCCTGGCAGCATGGGTCCTGATGGGGCTGATGGTGGCCCTGCCTGCTGTGTCAGCCTTTGTGAGATTGCTGAGCTTACCCTCTGCCAGTTGGATCGCTCCCCAGAGCCACTCACCAAGCATCCAGAGCCAGCCTCATGTGGCTGGCTGCTTGGGGAGGCTGAGGAGAAGGGGTCCCAAGCCCTAGCAGGGACTCTAGAGGGACACTCTGAGCCCCTTCGGGCAAGCACATCTGAGCCCTGTCCACGTCACGACGCTGCTTTTTCTATCAGGGGCCTCCTGCCAATGAAGACACTCGGGAGAAGGCCGCCCAGGGCATCAAGGCCTTCGAGGAGCTCCTGGTGACCAAGTGTAAGAGCCCAGACCGGCCTCGGTGCCTGAGCCCAGCAGGTGGTGCCAGTGGTGCCTGTGCCGCCCCAGGCGGGGGCCTCGCTTCTCAGGCAGTTCTTCCTGCGGTTCTGTGGGCGCCTTTGGGCCTTGGCTGCTGGGACTGGCCGCCCCAAGTCCCTGCTCTCCCCGTGACGGGTGGGTTCTTACAAGGCTGCTGTCACGAGGGGCAGCCTGGGGCCACACCCCCGAATTCACTCTGCAGTGCCCCGCACGTCCCTGAACACACAGCTCAAGGAGGCCACAGACGGACTCGGGCTCGCCAGACTGGGGGCCCCGCGCTGCTGCATCCAGCGTCCAGGGCACTGGCACAGCAGCTCCCTCACCGCAGGCTAGACAGATTGTTTCCTGTTCACTCCCTAGTGTGGATGTCAGAGCTAACGGGGGCAGGGGCCGTTGGCCCCATGTATGACCCAGGAGGGCGCCCTTGTGAGCTGCCATTGATGCTGTTAATTCCTCATCAGGGAAAAGCTGGGAGAAGGCCCTGCTCAGAAAGGCAGTGGTGAGCGACCGCCTGCAGCGTTTGCTTCAGCCCAAGTTACTGAAGTGAGTCCAAAGCCAAGGGGCGAGGTCGCCTCTCTGTGAGGGAGAAGGTCCGGGCTGCTGGGTTGTGATGGGCAGAGGCTCCATGTCACCACGGCCCCTTCTCTGCCAGGGCCCCCTGTTTGCAGCAGGAGAGCTAGTGTTCCCTGAACTTCCTCCTAGGGAGGCAGCCAAGCATCCAGGTCCGCCGTGTGAGAGCTGGGCCGGGCTGCGGGCCCCCCCTAGTGGTGTGTCTCTGTCAGTGTCTTGAGTCTGGACCTCGGTTTCCCCCTGTGACGGTGGGGCCTGCTTTACAGTGGGGTGGTGGCTCTTCGCAGCACTTGTGGCTGAGGCAGGAGGTCCCGAGGACTGCCCACTGCCTCACGCGACTGTCAGGGTTTGCTGGGGGGATGGTCAGGTTCCTCAGGCTGTGTGTGCTCCCACCTGGCCTGCTCCGGAAGCAGTTACTTACTGTAGTGGCCACCGCAGGCTGAAACCACCTGCAGCCCTGTTGCGGTTTACAAGGGTCCGGATGTCCACAGAGCACCTCCCTGCGTCCCGGGCACAGGGTTGGGAGCTGAGACACCGAGCTTTAAGACGCCGGGGCAGCTGGTAGTTGTTGCCACCCATGTCAGCCTGCACATGGGTGCACTAGCCCGTGATGTGACCAGGGACACCGGGAAGGGCATGCTGCTCCTTTGGGCCAGGAAGCCAAGGCAGAGGGAGGGATGGTCCTCGCTGGGGAGAGGCCGGTCGCAGTTCAGACCCAACTGAGCACATGCTCCCTGCTGCCACAGTGTGCGGAGCGCCGGCCCTGCAGGGTGCGCACCTGGATCTGTGGGCAGTTGGAGCCAACCAGAGATCCCGCTGGGCACAGGTCACGTGGCCACCTTGTGCCTCTGCTCTGCCTCGTAGGCTTGAGTACTTGGGGCAGAAACAGAGCAGGGTCACGAGCGAGGCGGAGAGGCAGGCCCTGGAGAAGCAGACGCAGGAGGCGGAGAAGGAGGTCCAGGATATCAAGTGAGCGAGGCTGTGGGGAGCAGGCGGTCCTGGGAGAGCCGAGGGGAGCCGGAGTGACTGGGTCCCTCGTCCTCTCCAGCCAGCTCTCAGAGGAGGCCCTCCTGGGGAACAGGCTGGACAGCCACGACTGGGAGAAGATTTCCAACGTGAATGTACGTCGGGGCAGGGCTGAGCCTGAATGGCCCTCCCCACTGTCCTGCTGGCCGGGGTGTGGGTGGGGATGGGCCAGGTCAGCTTCAGGCTCTGAGGCCACATCCTGGCCACCAGACCCGCTGTGACCCCCTCCTGTCAGGCACCTGTCCAGCAGTGCAGAGTGGCCTCCTGGAGCCCTCCACCCTCGCACCCTCTGCCCCTGCAAGGTGCCTTTTCTGGAATAGAAGGTTGTGAACGCTTTGGGCTTTGTGTCTGGCGCCAGGCCCACGTCTTTGGCTGTGCAAGTCCTGGCAGCCTGGACAGAGACCCCACTTACGCCTCCCCGAGTGCCCAGCTGCTGCCTGTCAGAGAGCGGCAGCCCCCACAGGCTGGTTCTCTGCCTGCAGTTTGAAGGGGGGCGTGGTGCAGAGGAGATCCGGAAGTTCTGGCAGAACTGTGAGCACCCGAGCATCAACAAGCGGGAGTGGGGCGCCCAGGAGGTGGACCGGCTCAAGGCCATCGCAGCTGGGCACGGCCACCTGGGGTGGCAGGAGATCGCTGAGGAGCTGGGGGTAAGGGCCTGGGGGCCTCTGGGACCCCAGGGCAGTGTCAGTCCCGCAGCTGGGATCTGGGCCAGCTGCCGGGTCTCTGTGGGCTGCGTGTCACACCATTGCCAGGGCCTGGCCTTTGGAGCCATTGGCTCTCTCCCTCTTGCCTCTTTCCAAGGGTGAGGCCCCTCCGCACGTGCCTGGGCTGAGAGCTCCTCAGAACCCCTCGCTGTGAGCCTGCCGCCTGCCGTGCACATGCGTCCCCCAAGCCTTTGCCCGAGACCTGCCTCTGGGTTTTACCTGAGCCCCTTCCCATCTTGTCCCCAGCTGTCCCCTCCCCACTGAGCTCAAAAGGAGCCTCTTCGTGGCGTTTGAGAGGAACCCTTCTCCTGGGCTTTGTTCTCGCCCCGCAAGCCGGCAGCCGAGGTCTTTTATCTGCCGGTGATAAGTGGAAGGTCAGGCCTGCCTTTCTGGGAGCAGGCGGTGGTGTGACCTCCTTTATGTAGATTTCTAGAATGCCTGTCATCTCAGTTCTTACCGTCTCTTTGGATTTTAGGTGTTATAATTTTCTAATAGGTTTCTTGGATTCCTTTTTTTTCATTCTTTAGGGTGAATTTTCATGGCTCATGACTTGAGAACACGATCTGTAAAATGGCCATTTTTAATTTTCCACGTTTATGGCCACGTGTGGCAGCAGTAAACCAGACTTAACAAAGCCGCAGGAACTGGTGTCTCCCCGCTCGGGCTGGGGTTTCACACACACCTATTAAACAGTTTGTGGTGGGGCTGAAGTTTGCTTTCTAACGCTGTTCACTCCTGAAAGAGTGGGTTGGTAGCCGATTAAAGTACAGTCATCTCCTTACACAGCTAATAGTTTTGCTTTACATACGTAGCTGCCACGTAATTTGGTAGATATTAGCTTTATGCTTCTGTATCCTTGGCAAACTGTGCTTTTTAAAAAGACTTTTTTACTTCGTATTCCCTTGATTTTTTTTAAAGGTGTTCTTAGAGCAGTTTTTGGTTCACAGCAAAATTGAGAGAAAGGTACAGAAATTCGCCACAGACCCTTTTCCACACACTTGTGTAGCTTTCCCCCTTGTCAGCATCACTCACAGGAGTGGCATGGGTTTTTTACCAAGGGTGGATCTGCCCTGACACGTTGTGATCACCCAGAGCCCATAACTTATCTCACGGTCACTCTTCGTGGTGTACATTCTGTGCGTTCAAACAGAAGTACAACGGGTCCACGGTGGTACCCCATGGTTCTGTGCCCACCTGGCCCACCCCACCCCAGCCCTGGCAGCCGCTGGCCCTTGTATTGTGGCTCTGTGGAAGGTTCACCTTCCCCACGCTGTCATTCTAGGACGCGTGCTGTCTGGACCTTCTCCCGCGGGCTGCTTTCAGTCAGCGATATGCCTTTAAGGCCCCGCCATGCTCTTCCTTGGCTCGGTGCCTCATGTCTTGCCCCTGAGTAATACTCCGTTGTCTGGGTATACCGTTTACCTCCCGTCACCTACTGGAGGACATCTGGTCTGGTGCTCGGTTCCGGCAGTGATGAGTAAAGCTGCCCTGAACGTCTGTGTGCAGGTTTTATGTAGACAGTTTTCAGCTCCTTGGGTGAGTACCAGGGAGTGCAGTTGTCGGCTCACGTGGTGAGAGAGTATGTTTAGTTTTGTAAGAGTCCACAAGCTGCGCCCCCCTGCACTGCAGCGTCCACGTTCCCACCAGCGGGGCTGAGAGTTCCGCTGCTGCCCGTCCTTGCCGGCACCGGCGGGGTCGGGGGTCTGGGTGTTGGCCTTTCTGAGAAGTGTGTGGTGGTCCTGCATTTTAATTTTCATCTCCCTGATGACGTCTGATGTGTGGAGCTTCTCATATCTCAGCTGCTGTCAGTTCTTCTTTGGTCTGTTTCTTAATCAGATTGTTTGCTCACTTATTATTGCGTTTGAAGAGTTCTCTGTCTGTTTTGGCCAGCAGTCCTTTATCTGGTGTGTATTTCACAAATATTTCCTCCCAGTTTGCGGCTTGTCTTCTAACTCTCGTGATGTTGTCTTCACCGAGCAGTTTTTAATTTCAATGAAGTGCAGTTTATGGATCCTTTTAGGAGTCATGCTTTTGGTGTCATGTTCTGTCACCTTACCCAAACTTCTCAGCTCAGCAGCCCACCCACGTTCTCTCCCGCCTGAGAGCTGCTCTAGGGAAGAAGCAGGCTCAGCTCTTGGAAACCTCTTTCCTGGAAGATGAGTGAGAGACAGATCGGGGCAGAAACAACTGTGTAGATGCAGCTAGAGACAGTACTTTGGGGCTCCCCCCAGGAGAGCGTCTCCCGAGATGTGGGTGTTACACCTAGTGCACCCTGTACCCCCATACGTGCACCTCGTAGCCGCCCCCTGGTAGAAGCTTCTGGAACACCAAATTAGAGCTGAGCAGCCGAGCCACAAGCAGGGAGGCAGGCGCCCGTGAGGAGGGGCCCGGGGCCTGAGTCCGCAGTGCGGTTCTGGGGTTGTGCGGCTGAAGCACCTCTCGGGAGGCTTCCTTTCTGTAGGCGACTGAGCTGGTGGCTCGTGCTCCTCATTTGTGGCCCCCCAGCTTCCAATCACAGGGATACTCCCACTGTGCCGCCGGGGCCCAGGGGGAGTAAGTAGACCCTTGGTTCACAGAAGTGCCTTACGCACCTAGCGCTCATGGCCCAGCTGTGTGCGGGGGAGCGCCTGGTGATTCCCCCTTTGCTTTGCTCCATCCTGGGAAGACTGGCCGCAGCGCCTTCCAGTGCCTGCAGAAGTTCCAGCAGCACAACAAGGCCCTGAAGCGCACGGTGTGGACAGAGGAGGAGGACCGCATGCTCGCCCAGCTTGTCCAGGAGATGCGCGTGGGCAGCCACATCCCCTACCGGAGAAGTGAGTCTGCCCGCCACAAGGCAGTCACCCCGGTCACAGGCCGCTGGGCTGCTCGGAGCACCCTGGGACCCTAGGCCTGAGGCCCGCATGTGCAGACAGGGACCTGTGGACATGGTTCACTGGTGAGAGGCTGGAGGGGAAACGGGGGTCGTACTGGCTCAGCTCTCAGTGGTAAGGGGGCTGCTTTCCGGGTGAGCAGGAGGTGCAGCACCCACATGGCCCTCTGTCCCCAGTTGTCTACTACATGGAAGGAAGAGATTCCATGCAGCTTATCTATCGGTGGACCAAGAGCTTGGATCCCAGCCTGAAAAAGGGGTTTTGGGCCCCAGAAGAAGATGCGGTAGGTTTTGGGGGTCCCAGAAGAGCTGTCTTCTGGGATGTTAGTTAATCTGCACACCTCGAGTGACCACTGGGCCCATGACGTCCCCTTAGATGGGCTGACTTGAGGGTCGAGAGGTCGTGACCGCCCACAGAGGTCTTGTCGTGTGCTTGCCCCCCTCCTGCAGAAGTTGCTCCAAGCAGTCGCCAAATATGGGGAGCAGGATTGGTTTAAAATCCGGGAAGAGGTGCCAGGTAGGAGCGATGCCCAGTGCCGAGACCGGTGAGTCAGACAGTGCTGGGTTGGGGGGCCTTACTGGGTGGGGCCCAGGGCAGTCTGTGGGCGGAGGAGGGGCTGAGGCCGTGGGGTCAGGGTGTGCTGGGGAGGCTACTTTCTTTCCAAACCAGAGTTTACACAGGCTCAGCCTGAAGCAGCGCCTGGTCTGGCCGCCTTCTTGAACCCTGTCTCAGTTCCTCTCCCAGACTGCTGATGGGCAAGGGCCCTGGCAGGCAGCTTCAGCTCTCTCCTTTTCTTGGTGTGTTCTTTTTTAACAGCTTTATTAATAAGATGTAATTCATGTATGTACAATTTGTTCAAGTATACAGTTCTATGGTTTTAGTGTTCTAGTGTATCCATTAGTGTATTAGTGTATGCAGCCTTCACCACAGGCAATTTTAGAATATTCAATCACTCCATAAAGAAACCCTATTCCCCTTTGAACAAATAAAAGACAGCTTAATTAAAAAATGGGCAAAGAACTTGAATAGACATTTCTCCAAAGAAGACATACAAATGGTGGCCACACTCAGCACTATTAGTCATGACAGAAATGGAGTCAAAACCACGCCATACCACTCCACATGCATTAGATCGGGTGTTGTTTTTAAAAAGGGGGAAATGATGAGCATTGGCAAGGATGTGGAGAAATAGGAGCCCTGGTTCCCTGCTGGTGGGAATATGAAATGGTGCAGCCACTGTGGGAGATGGTCTGGCAGTTCCTCAAAAGGTCAGACAGAATTGCTGCATCACCTCGCAATTCCACTCACGCCCAAAAGAATCCAAAGCAAAGATTGAAAAAGATACTTGCACACCTCTGTTCAAAGCAGCACTGTTCACAAAAGCCAAAAGGTGGAAAGAGTCTGGGTGTGTGTTCGTGGGTGAATGGATAAACAGGAAGCAGTTCAAAATTGGGTGGACAGTGGAATAGTATTCAGCCTTAAAAATGAGTGAGATTCCAATACTACAACATGGGTGAACCTTGCAAACATGAACACGTGTGTACAGGTTTTCATGTGGATGTATGTTCATGTCTCTCAGACACGTACCTAGGAGCGGAATTGTTAGTCACATGGCAACTCTGCGTTTAACCTTCGGAGGAACTGCGAGGCTGTTGTCCAAGGTGGCTGCACCACTTTACATCCCCGCCAGCAGTGTGGGGGATCCCCGTTGCCCACATCCTTACCAGTACTTATCAACTCTTTGATTATCATTATCCTAGTGGGTGTGGCATGGGCTCTCGTGGTTTTGGTCTGTGTTTCCCTGATGGCTGACGATGTTGAGCATCTTTTCATGTGTTGATTGGCATTTGCATATCTACTCTGGAGATTTGTCACTTCTTGTCTTTGGCCCACTTTAAAAATTGAGTCACTTGTCTTTGTATTGTTGACTGTCAGAGCTCTTTATATACTGCAGATACAAGCCCCTTACCAGACACATGATTTGCGAGGATGCTCTCCCAGGCAGGGAGCTGTCTCTCCACGTCCTTGGCGGGGACCCTTGGAGCACGGAAGTCCGCCCTGATGAAGCCCAGGGCTCCTGTTTTTCTTTTGTCACCAGTGCTTCTCGTGTCTGATCTCAGAAGCTGCCACAGAGCTGAGACAGCAGTAGGGGCCATCTTGGTGTCTGAAGTGTGCCTTTGTTTTCTTGTTACTTTCAGATACCTCAGAAGGTTACATTTCAGCTTAAAAAAGGGACGATGGAACTCAAAAGAAGAGGAAAAGTTAATTGAATTAATAGAGAAATATGGTGTTGGTGAGTTCTTGATATGATTGCTCTGCACAGTTTCTAGCTGGAGCTCATAGTTAGGCCCTGGGAGGCTCTCTGTCGGCTCCAACCCCAAGCTGCTTCCCTCCTCAGCAACTCTCCCTCCACTCCCCTTTCTCATAGCCTTGTAGCGATGGCAACTTGTACAAACCAGTTCACACTCGTTAGAGAGGATTTAGAAGCAACAATATGCAAAGAAAGATGTTTGAGTAGAGATCTCATCCAGGGGCCCGTCAGCGGCGTGCACGTGCCAGCACTGTGCGGGCTGCTTTCCTGGAGAAGGCAGCTTTTAAAATTGAATCAAGTTAATGGAGTTGCACCAGCCTTTTTTTACTTTATGGCGTAGTGTTCTGGTCTGTTAGGAATGTATTTCTGTGTCTGCACGTTCGGTGTTCCACCGTTTTTTTTCATTAGCCACATTCTATGTCCCTCAATAATGGTATATGGGTCATTGACACCTTCTGTCGAGGGACATTTAGATTGTTTTTCATTTTTTGCTACATGGCTAGAATGAACTAGGGGCTGCATAGTGAAACCTTTGCTTGTATTCGTAAGAAAAAAGTCCCTGATACGGTGCTTCCAAGCTCAAGGGGACACGGCCCTGCGGCTCCTCACGCGGCCTGTCTGCCCTGTGAAGGCGGCTCCCTGGTGTCCTTCCCATCAGCGCTATCGGAAAGAAAATATTAAATAATTTGAAATGTACGCAAGGGCCGTTTTTACTCTCTGTGAAGGTGGATGATTTTTTCCTCTCGGTCAAGCATTGCTGAACTTCACTGAAGCTTCACACTGAGCTTCTCCGAGAGGCTGGTGATCCGTTGAGAATCAGACGCCCAGCTTCCCCTTGAGCTGCTCAGATGTGCGCGCAGCCTGAGGGTGAGCGCAGCCCCGGAGACCCGACTCTGAGAGGATGCAGTCGAGTCTTCTGGGAGAGGCCTGCTCCGCGCCAAGACACACGCGTGTCATCAGACCACCCGCATGAAGCAGCTTCGTGTCATTTTGTCTTTGTAGGTCACTGGGCAAAAATAGCTTCCGAACTACCCCATCGGACAGGCTCCCAGTGTCTAAGCAAGTGGAAGATCATGGCCAGGGTGAGGCTTTACCGAAAGTCAGAAGGCCCAGCACCTGTGGGGTCAGTTAGGGTCATCGGCAAGCGGGATGAGGGAGGGAGGTGCAGGCGCTGGGGAGAGAAGGGTGTCGTCTGGTATCTGGCCCCGGCACCTCTTCTGAGGGGTGAGGGTGGAGAGACCTGGCCTGGGGTGCGTTCAGGAGGGCAAGCTCCAGGGAGGGCATGTTCCTGGCATGGCCTCCGAGCGCCCCCCGCCCCCTGGAGCCTTGCCTGCCTGCGGCCCTCCTCACAGGCCCTGAGGTAGAGTGGCCTCCAATGAGCCTTCTCCCCACAGAAGCGGCGGCGCCGGTGGCGGGGGCGGCGGCGCCCGCGCAGCCTGCGATGGAGCTCCAGCAGCGAGGACAGCAGCAGCCCCGAGAGCAGTGCGGACTCGGAGCCGGAGCCTGAGGAAGCCCCGCAGGCCGTGGAGGGCAGCCCTGTGCTCCCGTCAGCAGGGTGCCCTGTGCCGGACATGGACCTGTGGGTTCCTGCCAGGCAGGGCACCAGTGAGCCAGGAAGACAAGGGGCAGGGGGCTGGCCGGAGCACCCCACTGCCTCCTCTGGTTCTCCCGAGGACACCAGTGTGGCCCACAGTGGCAATGGGGAAGCTTGCCCCGTGGCCTCAGCTGCTGTCGAGGAGGCAGGCTGGGCGCAGGGCCCCTCCAGAGCCCAGAGCACTGGCCAGATGGGCAGCGGCCACCTGCGCGTGGCAGACACTCGCCTCCCCAGCTCAGAGGGGCCAGCACACGAGGTAGGCAGCAGGCCCCCTGTGCCCCAGGCTGGGGGCAGGCAGAGCGTGCTCCCGCCTGCTGGCCACCGAGGCCGGCCCTCAGGGGTGGTGGGCCAGCCTGATCTCATGCAGCTGGGTTTCATGGTGGGGGAGCAGACACCCTGTCCTCACTTGCTAGAAAGCTTCCTTCTGGCTTTCAAAAGAGTCATGCTCGGACTGCTACCTTCTGCAGTGAGGCCGGCATCCTCCGTTTCTCTCAGCTTGTTGGCTGTTAAAGCCACATCCATGGGAGAGCTGCTGAGGGGCCCTTGGGCTGGGAGCCATTTCTGACATGGTTTACCCTGAGCCAGGGGAGGAAGAAGGGGAGACCCCACTGTTTGCCTGCTTGGGTCTGGCTTGGCTCATGCCATGCGTGCCTGTCCTGGGCAGGGCTGGAGGCGGGCACAGGCTTGGTCTTGGCTGTGTCTGAGTGGCATCCCTAACTGACCAGGCTGGTCTGTCCTGGGAGACGTAGAGGGCCCAGACAGCTGTGCAGAGCGCACCCACCGCCCCGGGCCGCGGGGCCCTAGAGCCCATCAGAGGTCGCTGCCCATCAAATTTGTCTTTCTATCTGGTGCCATCAGCTCAGGGAGCTTGCTGGCAGGAGCGGGGACCCTCTGTTAGTCTGGAATGTGGCCGAGCCAGGCAGGCATCCCAGAGCCAGGCCTTCAGGACCCGCCACCCTCCTCTGGCTTCAGAGCATTTGCCACCAGTCCGGGGTGCAGATGCGGTATGCCCTGGGTTCTGGACCTGGACCTCTGCGTGTGGCCTGGGCAACAGGCCCTGTGCCAGGGGTCCCCACCCACCCAGCCCCACGCCGTCTTTTTGTCAGAGTGGGAAGTGTCTGCTGAAGGTGCCCCTGGAGACCGTGCCGCAGGTGCTCAGGACCAGCCCAGCTGCCTGCAGCTGGATGCTGGTAAGAGCCTGCCTGTGATCAGATGCAGCCCCTGGGCTTTGCACATACGTGTATACACTGCCGTGACCAGACCAACCCCAGGACCCACTCCCCCAGTACACAACGTGGGAAGGACTGCGAGTGGTGGGGCGTGGGCAGCTCCAGAGCCTTGTCTGGCAGCAGGCCCAGGTACCTTTCTCCCAACAGAAAGAGAAGCCGAGGCAACGGCACCTGCTCAGCCTGCCCCTGAGTGCCGGCCCCAGTGGCCACGGTGTGGCCAGGCCCCATGTGCAGCAGCCATGGCACAGGACCATCAGGCGTGGGCAGCAGCGCCAGGGACACACCCTGCAGAGGAGGCTCCTCCAGCGTCGGCTTCTGATGGCCATGAGCCCGTGGGTGGGTGATGATGTGTTGCCCTGCACTTCCCTGAGGCCAGCTGTGGTGCACACCCGAGGTACCTCCCTGGGGCCCCAGGAGCCTCCTTTGGGGCCCAGGGGCAGGAGGAGGTCCTATAGGCACATGATGGGGGGCCTGGGGGTGGTCTGCAGACACATGGAGGTTATGGCTGCCCTGCCAGGGCTGGGTTTAGGCGAGGAGCCAGAAGGCACCGTCAGCCCCATCTGCCAGCTTGTCTTCCTAGGAGGGCATCCCTTGGAGAGGTCTTGGGACTTGGCCTCCCCCTCCTGTTTAGCACTGAGGCTTCTTAGGGAGGTGACCCAACACTTGGGTTTCAGTAGGAGCTGCTGCCCAGGCCTGGATCGCTGTTTGTGTTCCCTGAGGGTGGGGACTCCCTGGGCCTGGGAGCTCCTGTGCCCAGAGGTGTTGGGACCAGTCAGGCCCTCTTCCCCCCGGGCCCTGGCCCTTCCAGCAGCGGCTGGATTTGGGGTGCTTTGGGGGCTCTCAGGGCTGTGACAAGAGGGTTCTGAGGAGCTGGGGCCACATTGCATATGTGCCCTTGTCCCCTCAGCCGATGGCCTCCGGCAGAAGCTGCAGGACGCCCACCTAGCCAGCACCCCAGTGTTTGCCCTCTTCATTCAGGTGAGCACAGGGTCTCCTCTTGAGCTTTGTTTTTCTGGAAGTTTTGAAGTTTGCAGTGAATTCACTTTCTTAAAAGTCCAGCTTTCCAGAGTCGTGAGTCCTCAGGGCTGTTCAGTGCCCCTGCCTTCCTACCACCATCAGCCAAACCCTGTCCTGGGAAGGCAGGGGCCTGGGGTGCACGTGGCAGCTGAGGGGGACAAGAAGACTGGCTCATGGGGAGCAGATGTCACCAGGCCTCTTGAGTCTTGGCAGGGGAGGCAGCCCAAGGACCCAAGTCCAGGCTGCAGCATCCATGAGGTGGTCCCAGCCTCGCGGGGCTGCCCCTGCTCCAGCCAGCGCCCCTGGGGCTGTGCGTCTGCTCCACGAGAGCAGCGGTGGCCAGGGCTGGCCTCCTGTCAGGCATGTGTCGTGTGTGTCCCTCAGCTGTTCCAGATCGACACTGCAGGCTGCATGGAGGTTGTCAGAGAGAGGAAGGCACAGTCCCCCACCAGGCTCCAGGCTGGTACTGGGGACCCGCCTCCGCGGCCCCTGCAGGTGAGGGAGTGGGTGCCAGGCTGGGCTGTATGGCAGTTGTCTGGCCAGGGAGTGAGGCGACACCAGCTCGGTCCAGAGGCAGGAGTCCCGTGACCTGTGGAGGCGGGGGCCAGGCCCGCCTAGCAGCTCAGTGCCCTTCCTACAAGGCCACACCACCCCTGCATGGGCCAGGGAGCCACTGGGCACCTGCTGCTCGGGGCATTGGCCAGGGTGGGATGCCAGGGTGGGCAGCCCTGCCCTCCATGTCTGTTGGGGTAAGAGGGCCTCCCACACCGAGTCCATTCACCACTGGATAAAATGGCAAAGAACCGTGGCTGGTCTAAGGACCACTCCGGCCCCAGAGCCCCTATGGCCTCCTGCTGAACAGCCGGACCTCTGCCTCCCCATAAACCCCGCACAGCCCTGACCCGCTGCGGCGAGCTTGCCCGAGGGTGCCTCTGGGTGGCGCTGTTTCAGGAGGGAGGCGGCCCCGGCACCTGGGGCCCTGACCTCCCCTCAGGTCACAGTCAGGTGGTGGTCTTGGCGGGGTAGGGACGTGGATGTCAGCCTGGCCGGGACTTCCCAAGGGTGCTCATTCTCCTCTTCTCTCTTTTTCAGGCACCCTTGAGTGCCCGCAGCTCCCCAGGTACTGACTGTGCGTCTGTCTCTCCCTTTATCGTAGCTATTTCTGCCTAGTGGGAAATGGCCAAAGCCGGCACAGGCATTTTCATATTCCCAGCAGCACGGCCATGGACCCCCCAGCGGGTGACAGGTTGGCTGCTATGAGCTGGAGGGGCAGCTCCTCGGGCTGGGCTCCTCGGGCTGGGCTCCTACCCACCCGGAGCGGCAGGTCTGCCCCCAGGCCCTAAGGCTCTCCTACCAGCCGCCACCGAGCTGCCCACACCAGCAGCATCAGGCCAGGATCGGGTCTGAGGGACTGTGTGCGGGGCAGGGCCGTGGCATCCAGCAGTCATTCTGAACACATTCGAGTCCAGGCTGAAGTGTGACCAGGCATGGCTGAGCATTCTCTCTGTGCTTGCCTTGGCCGTGGTGCCAGGTGCCCCGTTGTGCCCACTGCCCTGGCCTTGGCAGGAGGCTGGGGAGGGCTAGGCACCTGCAGCCAGGCTGGTGAACCCTGCTTGGCCCAGGGCCGAGCTCCGGCTTCCACAGCCCCAGCAGGCCACCTCCAGCCCCCCACCGACAGTCACAGAGCAAGGCCTGTGTTGGCCAGTCGCCCAGAGCTCATCAGGGCTTGTACTCTGTCCTGCCTGCAGCCTGCCTCTCCCAAGACGGGCCGAGCCGAGGAGCTGCAGAGGGGAGCACCCGCCCCCAGGGGCGCAGGGCCGTGCCCGACTGCCGTGCTGCTTCTGCCCTCCAGGCAACCCTGCCAGCCTCTTGCGGCCCCCGGCCCAAGCCCAAGACTGTGTCCGAGCTGCTCCGGGAAAAACGGCTGCGGGAGGCACGGGCCCGGAAGGCCACCCAAGGCCCTGTGGTTCTCCCGCCCCAGCTGCTGGTCCCCCAGCCTGTGGTCCTCCAGCCCGCCCCAACACTGGCCTCCCAGGACCCCCCAGCCACAGGGCCGGCTGCCTCGAGGGCCCTCCTTGGGTCTGTGGCCCCTGCAGCTGCCTCAGCCTCCTGGGCCTCAGCCTCGGACCTTGCTCTGGCCCGCCCAGAGGCTGCCGCCACTGCTTCCAGGGCCCGAGCCCCGAGCCCCAGCCGGGTCCCTGTGGGCTGCCCTCTGAGCAGTCCCGGGCAGCCTCAGGCCCCTGCCACGTCATGGAAGCAGGGCCTCCCCGAGGCACCACGCCTGCCCCTTGCCGCTCTCAGCCCCACCCAGCTGCCCACCCGGCCCCGCAGCCTGGCGCCCACGCCGGGCACGCACCGCGGTGGGCCTTCCGTGGTAGCCAGTGCCCCTCTGCCAGTCACCTGGGTGCTTACAGCCCCGGGGCTGCTTCCTGTGCCTCTGCCGGCCGTGATGGGCCTTTCTAAGCCAGCGGGGAGCCCTGGTCCCAAAGGGGTGTTTGTGACCCTGCCAACCTTCCTGACTGAGATGCAGGCAGCCCAGAGCCCTGGGCAGCCCCCAGCCAACTCGGACACAGAATCAGGCCCTCCCTCCACGCCAGACCTGACCTTTCCAACACCTTCCCCACATCAGAGTGCTGCTGAAGTGGGTGGTGACGTGGCCCGTGTCCCCAGGGGACTCCCCTCTCCTGAAGAGGCCCGGGTTCCCAGGCCATCTTCCCCTGCCACGCTCCTGGCTGACCACTCTGGAGCTGAGCCCCCTTGGTCCAGCCAGCTGCCTCTGCAAGGTGGCTCTGTTCTGGGGAGCGTCCCAGGGGGGACGTCAGGGTGCCCCACACAGGTAGGGGAGTCCAGGGAGTCTCTGGGCCCGGAGAGGCCACCCCCACCCCAGCCTGGGCCTGGAAAGGGTGCCCTGGACCTGACCCTCCTCTCCCTGGAGAGCGAGGCAGCTGTGCGGGAATGGCTGAGGGGGCAGCAAGGAGTGTGCGTGCCCCGGCTGGGGAGCAGGCTGCCCTACCAGCCTCCTACCCTGTGCAGCCTGCGGGCGCTGTCTGGCCTCCTGCTCCACAAGAAAGCCTTGGAACACAGAGCTGCCTCCCTGATTCCTGACGGGGCGCCCGGAGCCCTGCAGGCCTCGCTGGCGCCGGTGTGGAGAGCGCTCCAGGACAACCCAGCCTACCTGCTGCTGAAGGCACGGTTCCTGGCGGCCTTCACACTGCCCGCGCTCCTGGCCACCCTGCCCCCGCACGGCGTCCCCACCACCCTGTCAGCAGCCAGGCAGGCTGGCCCTGGGAGCGACGACAGTGACCAGGAGGAGCCGGAGCGGGCTGACGGCGACAGGCAGCCGGGCCGCTGGGCCACCGCCCCTGTTCAGGTAGGGGGGCCTTCTGAGCCCCGTGGCCCTCACCCACTGTGGGTGCCCAGCCCGCCCAGTGTGGCAGGGTGGCGTTCAAGGGTGGGGGCAGGGGAAGCCATGGCCAGGGCAGCTGGTTTCTGAGCAGGAAGAAGCCGGCTGTAAGCCCGCCTCACCATGTGGAGGTCCTTCCCATGTGCAGAGAAAGCGACCTCACTGACCCGGAGCTCCCCGGCCCCTTTGGGGGGCATCCCCCTGGCCACACAGCCTCATCTGACAGGGATGCCGCTCACCTCTGCCGCCTGCACATGTGTGCCTGCGGTGGGCCCTCCGCTCAGCACGGGGCCCTGTGTTCACCCTTCCCAGGGGCGGCTCGCCCCCGCTCACGTCTTGAGGGCTCTAAGTGGAACCATTTTCTTTATCTCCTGATGTGAGCACGTGCAAGAAGGTGCCCATGTGTCCTGTGGCTGTGTGGGCCCAGTGGGGCCTCCCCCTGTTACCTGGGGTGAGGGAGAGCTGAGCCACCTTGGGCTTTTTGTGCCAAGTTAAGAAAGTCAAGGCCCCTCGCAGGGGGAATCCAGAGTGTGTGGTGGCCCTCCCAGGGAACCCCCCTAAGTGGTCCCTCCCTGTACCCCCTGGGGCAGCAAGAGCCAAGGGTCATGGCGGGGTGGGGGGGGGCTGTGCCCTCCCCCACCCCATAGGCTCACTCCTGGGCTGTTGGGAACATTCGGCTCCCTTCCCAGGGCCATTGCTTGGGGGCCCCCAGGCTGTCTTCCGGGCCCCAGATACCAAGGGGAAGAGCTCCCTATCCCCCATGGTGGGGCGGGCCCTCAGAGGGCTGCTCAGAGGGCTGGGGCCCCTGCGTGAGGAAGGGGTCGGCAGAGGCAGGGCCCACACAAGGCCCTAGGAAGGCTGGTGCCCTGTTCCTGCCTGTTACATGGCAGTGTCACCCCGCCAGCCTGGGGCGCCTCCCCCTGCTGGGGCCGCGGCTCCCTGGAGAGCTGCTCCACCTCAGCAAGGAGGAGTCTGAGGGGGCTGCCTGTCCCCAGTGTCAGGCCTCTGCCGTTCCCAGCCTGCCTGGCTGGAGGCTCACCCTGTCCTCCTCGGCCTGCATTTTTGTTTCAGGGAGCCCTGGACCCTGGCGAGGGCTCTGACCCCTGCCTGGACACTCCTGATGACGTCGATGTGCTCAGAACCCGGCATTCACGGCATACGCGGAAGCGGAGGCGGCTGCTGTGAGCAGCAGGGTGAGTGGGCCAGGCAGGTGCCCCTGGGTCCTGGAATGGACAGGCCTTCCTTCCCCTCGCCTCCGCATTGGGCACTTGGAGGCCAGGCCACCTTTGCCTGGGAGCAGCTGCTTTCCAAATGCAGTCTGGCGCCCCAGAGGCTGGCCACTGCTGGCCCTGCCCAGGGGGTTCATGTTGGGTGTGGTGGAGAAGGGGCAGGTGCACACGTGCCCCTGGGGGCAGGCCCAAGGTCGCAGAGGCCCCCTTGGGGGAAGAGCTGACTAGTCTGCCCTCCCCAGGTCTCCTGGCCCCTCTGGTACTTCCCACTGCCCCTCTGCCCAGCACACTCATCTGCCTGCACTTGGGTGCCTCCATTCATGCCTCTGCTCCGTGGGCAGCTGCTCAGCCTCCCTCCCACAACAGCCTCCTGAGGCAGCGGCACTGTCCCGGTGTCCGTACATCCTGACGGCACCTGCCCTGACATCTGGCGCATGACTCGTCTGCTGGCCTCCCTGTGACATGAGCGTGGGAGGGCAGGCATGTGGCTTTGCTGCGGGGCCCAGTGCCCAGGCTGCAGGCACCAGTTGGTTGAGTCCATAGGACTCCCGAGGTGGAAGGGTGTCCCGGTTAGCAAGTCCCAGAGGCACGAGCCTTCTCTGGATTGTGCAGGCGGTGCCGTGAGAGGTCTGGGTCCTGGAGTGGGTACCATGGGGGCTGTGTTGAGTGGTCCCATTTGCAACCCACCCCCAGAGGCCAGGGCCTACACTCCATGTGGCCCCTCCCTGAGAAGGCCTGGCACCACGCTGGGGGACTGGCTGGGGCGGGGTGCCCCCAAGAGGTGTGCTTGTGTTCCAGGACCACCCAGATGTGTGCTGGCGGGAGGCAGGACTCAGCCCACCTACCCAGGAGCCCACCACCGAGAGCCCCCCAGAGAAGCAGCAGGTGGCTGGGGGAAGACTTGTCAGCAGTGGCCGCACCGTCATAGGGCCTTGTCTTGTCCCCAGGTGTTTTTCGGGACATTGAAGGAATAAATAAAGTAAATGTGTTTTTAATGAAAAAGCAAGCCCCAGGCTCTTGTAGTCTTGCCCTGAAGCTGGGCTGCTTTGGGCCTCCCCTGGGTCGTTGGGGAGCCGGCCAGCCGGGCCCTGGGACCTCAGGGCTCCTGTGCACTGGGCCTCCCTGCGGAGGGGAGGGGGGGGAAGGACAGGCGGAAGCGGAGGCCTGCCCTTTGCATGAGAAGCTCCTGTGGCTTTGGCCTTGGGGCTGAGGAGAAGGCAGGGCGCCCTCCCCCACCCAGGGGTGAGAGCCAGCCCACTTCCTCTGCCTCCGGACTCTGCAGGCCGAGCTGGCGGTCCCTGCAACCAGCCACAGCAGCCCCGGCCCAGTACCGCCTGCCTCCCAAGTGCCAGGCGCGTCGTAAGGACACTGGGCCTCGGGCGTGGTTTACAGCCTTCCTGGCACGGGCATCTCCTGCATGCTTCCCTTTGCTCTTGTTTTCCTTGCTACACGATGCTGACTGTGTATGGAAGCATGGCAGGCGTGCTGGGTGTGCGTCCTGGCCCCACCCGAGCTGCAGCCACGGTGCCGCCTGCCCACTTCGCCCCACAGACGCCACAGCTCGCACGGCCTCAGGCTGCCGCCTCTCTTCTGGTGTGCCCAGCACTCCTTTAACAGATTTCTGGTTTTCCTCATGGCCTCTTCTGACCTATGGGTTACTGAGAGGTTGTCACTTAAATTCCAAGCATTTAGGAATCTTCCAGATACCTTTGTTCCTGATCTAGCTTCATTTTGGGCGTGGTCAGAGAAAAGGATTAATTCTTAAGATGTGCACCAGGGGGCAGACACCTCTATCCGCTGCATTTTACAAAGTGAGGGAGGCGTCTGGCTGGTAATGGCCTGGTACTGGTGCCTGCTCCTGCGGCTGGGCCCACCGGCCTGCCCCACCTGGGCCCGCACCCCCCCCCCCGGCAGCACAGCTGCCCCAGGGGCCAGGGGACTGCCAGCACCCAGGGACACGATGTCGGGTCTCAGGGGCCCGCAGGAGGGCCGGGCTGCCACCGCAAGGAAGACTGAAGTTCCAGCTGAGTAGCCAAGCACTAGGGCCAGGGGGCAGAGAAAGGCCCCGGGCTAGGGATCAAGACCCGACTGGGAGGCGGTCAGGCCGGGGCTCAGAGCCAGTCGGCCTGGCAGAGCCCAGAGTACCGGTCTCCCCTTAATTGTAGCCTCAGCCCAGCAGGTGGCAACACCCAGTACAGCTGCACCAATGAGGCAGTGGCCTGGGAGTTCCCTGAGGCCCCGGGTGTGGAGGCCCAGGAGGCCGCGCCCCCTTCACAGGGCCGGAGCTTCACTGTGCACTTCATAGCCCTTCTGGAACTGGCTTGTGAGGCCGCCGGGAGTATCCTTAGAGCCCTGGGAGCCTTCTGTCACTGTCCCATGTGTCCTGGTGGAGAGGGATTACAGAATGGGGGTGCCCCAGGAAGGGATGAGGGCGTGCTGGTGGGGGCGTGAGGCAGGCACGGTTGAGGCCCGTGGTCTCCCCAGCCCCACGTGCTCTTTGGACGCCACACTGCAGTCTATGTGAGCAAAGCGTGAGCTGGCCCGGCTGTATATGCTGGCACCCAGCTGGGAGCTGTGTCAGGGTAGATGCCCCCGATCCCATCACACCCTACAGGCCTGACCCCGAGGCTGCGCTGCTGGTCCCCAACCAGGCTGCCAAAGTGCAGGAGCTGAAACGGCACAGAGCAAGCGCCCTCTGCTATGGAAACCTCCCGAGAAGACTGGCTGGTGGATCAGCCTCGTGCAGCCCCTGGGAGGGCCTTTGCTCACACTGTGACTGTGCCAAGCGCCAGGGCCAGGCCTCCAGGGGGACCCCAGGACCACAGCCCACGGGCAGGCCGGCTCCTAGCAGCTTTCCTCAGAGCGGGGACTTCCACTTCCCTCAGCCCCGCCTCCAGGGCTGCAGGCTGGGCGGGGGACCAGAGGGCAGCTGCCAGGGACTGGTCCCTGACGGAGGACCTGCTGCCTCTGGGGCTCACCGGAACCATCAGGAAACACACAGGCTCTCCTCGGGCCCCACCCTCCCTGGGCGGCCAGCGCAGCACCTCCTGTTGCTCAGGGTTGGGGTGGCCCAGGCTGATGGGTGTCCAGCTGTGCAGGGACCCCTCGAGGACCTGAGGTAGGCTGGTGTGGGGCCCTTTCGAGAGGTGGCAGGGGAGGTGGGTGGCTCTCCGCTCGAGGCTTCCTGGGGCAGCAAGATCCTAGGGCCAATACCCAGAAGGTCACCGAGGGGCCTCAATTCCTCTGCCCTGTCCCCCTTCACAGCCACCTGGCATATTGCAACTGAATTAGCAGCAGGACATCAGGTCTGGGGCCTGTGAATTTTAGGCTAGCAAGGCAGAAATGCGTGAATGTTACCAAGGGCCATCCTGAGTTGTTTTTATTCAACGTTTTGTCTGTCACTGGACTGGATGGGACGACTGAGGGCGGGAGGAAGTTGGAGAGACTCCAAAAGACCAGGCCTCCGCCACCCGTGTCTCTAGGATAGCTGACCTAACTCCTGGGGCTGGGAACGCAGTTCTCAGGTGACTGAAGTCTCTCTCTGAGTGGCTGGGTCAGTTCTCCATCCTTGCGACAAGAAGGAGGCGCAACCCCATGACTGCCCTCGCTTGGCCTGGCTCTGGAGCGGTTTCCCACCCGCTGGTAGAAGGGAGCAGCAGAGGGCAGTTCCAAGCATAGATGCGTCCCTGTTGGTGCCAGTGTGACAGTCCCCAAGAACAGGCTTCATCTGGGAGATGGGAGAGGAGGCCAGACATGAGCCCAGGACCTGAGAACCTGGAAAAGGTGTGAAGCAGCATCCCAGGCCAGCGTGGCTGACAGCCAGCCTGTCCCATTGTGCCGGGCCCTCACTCTCCCGTGTGCAGCCCAGCCGCCCTTCCTGGGCAGCACGGTGATGCAGAGCCCGACTTGGAGCGGGCCAGCCTGGGCAGCTGCCGAGGACTATTGCATCACCAGCCAGCCTCCGGAACGAGAGCCGGAGCGGGACTGGGCGAGTCAGCTGAGTCAGGGCATGAGGAAGTCCCCCCTGGCATGGCCTGGAGTTGCGTGGCTGGAGGGCTGCAGCCCCAGCCTGGTCACAGGCTGGTGGGGGCTGGAGCCTCCCTCCCCACCTCTGCAAGGGCCGCTGTGCTAGTGGAGAGCACCGGGCACAAACAGCTCCTCCCACCCTGTCACCTACAAGGGTAGGAGGGGGCCGTCCCTGCCAGCTCCATGACAGTTTAGGAATGTCGGCGGGGGCAGAGGTCAGAGGGTCCTCGTGCAGGGGCGAATGTTCTCTTAGACACCACCTGTCCCCGGACCATCTTCACAGCTTCCCCCAAGCTTCTCTAGGTGCCTCGAGGAGAGAAGCCCAGGGAGGCCAGAAGGGCACGGGCCAGGGAAGGCTGACGGTTGAGCTGGCGGGAGCACAGGGTCACTGTGCTACTCGGTCACTGGGATGGGAATGGTCACTCGGTCACAGGGGACTGCACACCTCCAGAACACCCCTGGGCTGATCCCTGGCCAGACACTGCAGCGGCAGGCCTGGGTCCTGGCTTCAGCTGGCTGCCCACGAGAGGCCCCCCGGCCCCCGCACAGCGCCATGTCTGACTATGAGAATGAGGACGAGTGCTGGAGCGCCCTGGAGGGCTTCCGGGTGAAGCTCACCTCCGTCCTGGACCCCGCCCGCATCACACCCTACCTGAGGCAGTGCAAGGTCCTGGGCCCCGACGATGAGGAGCAAGTGCTCAGCGACCCCACCCTGGTCACCCGCAGGCGGAAAGCAGGTCAGTGTCCCCTGGCCCCGGCCCCAGCCAGACGCGGCGTCCCCAGCAGGGCCGGTGCCTCCGCCCCAGCCCTAGAGTGCACCAGCCCCAGCACCCCATCCCGCCATCCTGTCTGTCTGGGTGGTGGCACTTCCACATACAGCTGGGGCCCTGGAGGAGCCAGGTGAAGGTGGGCGCACCTGGACCCTGGCCAGGACAGCGCTTGCAGCAGCTGCCGCGGCCCAGCCACTCGGCCCGGAGCACTGCCGGGGACCGACAGCCCTGCCCAGCCAGGTCTCGCTGGGCCGCAGGTGTGCTCCTGGACATCCTGCAGCGGACGGGCCACAAGGGCTACGTGGCCTTCCTCGAGAGCCTGGAGCTGTACTACCCACACCTCTACAAGAAGGTCACGGGCAAGGAGCCCGCCCGTGTCTTCTCCATGATCATCGGTGAGGCTGCGGCCCTGGGCATCAGGGGCATGATCGGTGTGGTAGGCAGACCCCTCCCTATCTGTCTCCAGATGGATAAATTTGGGGGCATAAATTGTCAGCCTGGGGGTGGGCCTGGTCTTTGCTCCCATCTTGCTCTCTCCTAGCACTCATGGGGAGAGTTAGAGAAAAGGGGACCTGTCCTCCAGAGGGGTAGCAGGTGGGGTACCAAGGCCGACTGGTGGGTTGCAGCCCCTCCTGCTCAGAAAGACTCCCGGCCCCGCTGAAGCGCCCGGCTCTAGCATTTCGTCCTCTCATCTCTCAACCACAATCCTAACAAAATTAGACCCACGGGGATGGGTGCCTGGCTCTCTGGCTGTCCCTCCACCCATCTTGGGCGTGGGCCCTGGCCGGCAGCCTGGGAGATGAGCCAGAATCTCAGTGCATTTCCTCAGCGGGAGCATCAGGACTTGGGGTGGACATCCACCCTGCGAGTCAAGGCCAGGAGGGGTGATGGAGTGGGGTGGCCATGGGCCCCAGGAGGGCGGCTGACCCACCGGGTGTGCAGACGCGTCTGGGGAGTCAGGCCTCATGCAGCTGCTGATGAGCGAGGTGACCAAGCTGCAGAAGAAGGTGCAGGACCAGACGGTGCTGCTGAGCTCCATGGACGACCTCGTCAAGGAGCTGCGTGTCAAGGACAGCCTGCTGCGCAAGCACCAGGAGCGCGTGCAGCGGCTCAAGGAGCAGTGGGAGGCCGGCAGCCACGAGCTCAAGCGCTGCAAAGACGAGAACTACGACCTGGCACTGCGCCTGGCCCGCCAGAGCGAGGAGAAGGGTGCCGCGCTCATGCGGAACCGCGACCTGCAGCTGGAGGTGCCTGGCCTGCCGCCTGGAGCCCCAGGGTGGCCCCGCGGGGAGGACCGTGGCTGACAGGCATCCCGCAGGTGGACCGGCTGAGGCATAGCCTCATGAAGGCGGAGGAGGACTGCACGGTGGAGCGCAGGCACACGCTGAAGCTGAGGCACGCCATGGAGCAGCGGCCCAGCCAGGAGCTGCTGTGGGAGCTGCAGCAGGAGAAGGCCCTGCTACAGGCCCGCGTGCGGGAGCTGGAGGCCTCCATGCAGGTAGGACAGTGGGCTGAAGGGGCAGGAGCTGCCAGGCCAGCTGCTGCCCGGCCACCCTCCGGCCTTTGCCACCCACAGGACGGCAAGCAGGATGAGGGCAGCCACTACATCCAGGTGCTGGAGGAGGACTGGCAGCAGGCGCTGCGGGACAACCAGGAACGGGCCAGTACCATCTTCTCCCTGCGCAAGGAGCTGCGGCGAGGCGAGGCCCAGCGCATCCGGGTACTGGGCCCGAACCAGGCTGGGTGGGCCTGGCCGGCCAGGGGGACAGAATGGGGGTGGCGGGCATGTGGCCGACTGCGGTCTCCCATAGTGCATGGAGGAGAAGGAGATGTTGGAGCTGCAGTGCCTGGCCCTGCGGAAGGACTCCAAGATGTACAAGGACCGCATTGAGGCCATCCTGCAGCAGATGGAGGAGGTCGCCATCGAGCGGGACCAGGTAGGCTCCTGCCTCGCTGGCAACTGCCCTTCCGGGGCCAGCGTCAAAGTGGTTTTTAAACGACAAAGACAGCTGAGAGCACCTAAGATAGGATGGTGATGAAGTTAGTGTCCCCCCCAACACCCCACCGGTTTTATTATACAAAATGGAAGCTTTCTGTATTGTTTTACAAATGGTTTTAACTTACAAACTGTGGGCCTGTCCTGGCTGCATTCCTGGAGAGAGGCCAAACACGGACCTGGGGCTGCACCCACCTGTTCCCAGCCTCTGACCGGTGAACTGGGGCTCCTGTGATGTTCTGGAGGTTAACTTGACAGTCTCAGGAGTCTGGGGAAGTAGATACCTTTTAACGCAGCGATTCCCGAGAGATATTGCATGGCAACAGAGAAAGCTGTACGTGGGTGTGGGTCTCAGGGCCACGGGCACCAGCAGGGATGTGCAGGGGTAAGTACAGCTCCAGGTGGGGAAAGGGAGGCTGCTGGCTGGCCCTGCTGGAGTGGGGCCCTCACTGAAGGCAGCTGGGGAGTGGGGTGTTCAGGGGCGGAAAGCAGGCCCTGGGCGGCCGAGGTGGCTGGGTGGGGTTTTCCCTGGTTGTTCTCAGTTGGAAGCAGGACAGGAGGGCAGTTCTCTGTCGTTAAGGAAGTCCCGGCTGTCCAGGGGCCGATGAGTACAGGGATGTGCTTTACCTCCCTGGACTGCTGCTGGCATCCTTTAAGTCTGACCTCTCGCCGCTGGGCCATTCTGAAGATAAGGGGCTGCCCTGGCCAGTGGCTGCAGGTCATGGGCCAGACTTCTGTCATTGCATGTGGCCTGGCCATTGTTGGTTTGTGTATTCTGTGGCCCCTGGGAGGGTCGGGCATGACAGCTGTGGTGCACACCTCTTAGGAGCATTACAGGCTGCTAACCATGTTCTTGAGATCAAGCCACACAAGCTTGGAAGATCTGCATGTGGAGGTGGAAATATGTGATTGTCCACACAGGATGCAGGACTCGGGTTAACACGGGCCAACAGGGGTTGCTCTGAGGGCTGAGTATGAGGAGTTGTGTCCTCTCAGAGTCTCTGACACTGGTAGGAGGCTGAGTTTATTCTCCTTGGTTCTTATCCCCGCTGCAACAAAGAATTGAAAGGCAGAGACACAGGAGCCAAGCAGAATGCAAGTTTTACTTGAATACACCCCCAGGGAGCAGCAGGCCAGAGTCAAGGTAGACAAAGTCAAGAATGGGAAGCTCACTGAACTCCAGCTCAGCGTTGGGCAGATCACCCGGTGTCCGGTGTCCTCTCGGACCTGCACGGCCTGGGAACTGAGCCCCCACCACCCCAGGATTTGGGGGAGCCGCAGAGCACTGGGTGGAGTGAGATTATGTTTTGAGAACTTCCCAAAGGCAAAGAAGAGACTTTCAGGCAGGCTGCTAAGGAGCCCAGGCGAAGGGAACCTGCCAGCCCCAGCCCCAGCTCCGAGCAGCCCTTCTACTTACCTGGAGTGGGAGAGGGAGTGCCATGTGAAGAAAGGGGACTGTGGGCACCCTCAGAGAGGAGGTGTGCTTAAGGGGCTAGGGTCTGGGGTTTTATAGGGCCTTTTGGGTAAGAGTCAGCATAAGGCATGATGTATACAGGTGACTCATAATTCCTTTGAAGTTTTGTTTTAAGAATAGGGTTGTTCACTAAACTATGTTTTCTACCTTTATCTTGCATCTACCTACCACTTCAGCAGTTTATTAAAAATAAAAATAATAATAATAATAAAGGGACAAATGTGGGATCCACATATAAATCAAGTATAAAAATCAAACGAATATTCATATTTGACCTGATTGTTTATAGTTCATAATGTGTGATCAGAACCGAAAGTTTCTGTGATGACTGCCCTTGCACGGTCCACCATGTCGGAACTTATTCACTATGTAAGAATTTGTTCACCATGTAAGAACTTGTTCGTTATGCTTCAGAAGATTGGAGACTGACGAGAATTAGGCTTGAGATGGATTGATGATTGTGCATTGAGCATTGACTCCCCTATACAGAATTAAAAAAAAAAAAAAATAGAATAGGGTTGTTTAGGGGACTGTGTTGACCGGGATCTTGGCATTCTCTATCCACATAGGTTCATTTACACTTGCAGCTCTGTCTCCTGCCCGGGGGTTACATAGTCACTAATTAAGGGGCCGGAAGAAGAGCATACAGATTAAGTTAAAGAATAAGCTGGGCCTTTTTCACAGGCTAAGTATACTTCACAGTGGCGCGATCTACCTGGTGCAAGGCAGACATGGGCCGTGCTTGGATACTTTTCTCTATCTGGGGAATATCCCAGACTTTCCAAGTCACTCCTGGTCTTTGGAACTTCAACTAATTAACTCTGCGAGCCCTTTCTGGCTCTCTAGTTTTATCTGGTTAATTCTTTTGAGCCCTTTTCAGCGGGCTCCACTGGCCATATTCTCCCTCCACCTGCTCACTTCTGTCTTTCTGCCCAACACGTCCACACTTTTCATCACGGGCCTTTGTTACAACCCCCCAAATGCGTCCACGGAGAAGAGAGGAAGGGTGGCCCAGCCCTGCTGGCTGCTGGGAGAGTGCTGGGAGCGTCGCCAGAGGCCGGGTGAGCTCCTGCGGGGTCCCCCCACAAGTCTCCGGGCGCCCGCCCTGTGATTCCCCGCAGGCCACGGCGGCGCGGGAGGAGCTGCACGCCCAACAGGCGCGCAGCCTTCAGGAGAAGGACCGGCTGCGCAGGCGCGTGCGGGAGCTGGACGAGAAGGCCGACGAGCTGCAGCTGCAGCTCTTCCAGCGTGAGGGCCAGCTGCTGGCCGTGAAGGGCAGGCTCCGGCGGCGGCTGGAGATACGCGTCCCGGTGGGCCTCCTGGGGGCTGGGGGCCTCCGTCCATTGGCTGGAGCTGCGGGCCTACCCTTGAGGCGTGGGGGGACCCCGGCATGGGCCCAGCTCAGCCACTGACCCATTGGCGGCCTGGTGGGCCACTGTGGGCGTAGTGAAAGGAAGGGGGGCCTTGGGCGGCCGCCAGGACCGGCCTCAGCCTGGAGAAGGCCTCCCTGGGGAGCAGGGGCTGGCCTGGGGTCCCTCCCCGTGCCCCACCCCACTCCATGCCTTGGGGTGGCTTTGCTCCCCCTCGTCTGCTCACTGACCCCTCCTCTGTGACCACAGAGCTCTGACCTGGAGGACAGCTCACCCAGGAATTCTCAGGAGGTGAGTGTGGCCCCTGGGGAGCTCCTGGGCTGCAGCCTCTGCCAGACAGCAGACCCACACATCCCTCGGAGGTACCAGGCACCGGGCTGCTTCCTAGTCCTCAGATGCTCAGCTGGCACTCGCCGAGGCCTCTGTGTGCTCTGGGCAAGAAAGGCCTGGGTGGCAGCCAGCTTGTGGCCCTTGTGGCGGGTCCCTCCTGCCAGGCCTGGCTGGGCAGTACAGGTTCCTGAGGTGCTGTGCAGTGGGGAGAGGGGTCTAGCCCAAGCGGGCACTGGTCTAAGTGGCTGCCCACTCTCTCTGGAAGCTCTCACCCCCGCAGGACCTAGAGGAGGATTCCCAGCTCTCGGACAAAGGTGAGGAGGAGGCATCCTGCCCCGAAGGACTCAGGCTGAAGCTTCCCTCACCCTAAGTTGGTGCCAGCCCTGACCCCTGACACACACACAGCCCCACTCTACAAATGCGGACACTGAGGTTGGGGATAAGTGACTCCCAAGTTCCCCAGTGAGCAAACGGAGCCCCTGGGAACCTTCGCCAAAGTTTTCAGGGTTCACAGCCCAGCTCCCACAGAGAACACACCCCCATCAGAGGCACCCTGGGACCCAGGAGTGCAGCACCTCCTCCTGGGCAGGGAGCTGGGAGGCAGGTCGGGATGCTCAGATGCGCCTCAACAGGGAGGGGGTGCTGGGTGCTGGAGACGGGACTGGCAGCTGGGAGATGGCCCACAGCAGGCAGCCAGAGGTTGGGGGGGCCCATTCTGAAGGTGGGTGTCAGGAGACCTGGGAAGGAGCCCTGTTCTGGGCATGGAGTGGGTGGGGGAGGCAGGGCCACCACAGAGGTGGCGTGAGAAGCCAGACTTCCTCGGCGAGAGGCCTGACCCCAGCTTCCAAGGGGTGGGGGTTGGGGCAAAAGAGGAATTGGGGCGGCAAATGCAGAAGTGAGGGTCAGGCCATCTGCTGCTCCCAGACACAAACTTGAGGTGCTGAGTTCCTGGGTGGGGTCAGGTAGGACCCAGCAGGCTGCAAGTAGGATGGGGAGGCTGCCACCTTAGTCAGGTCCGGGAGCTCCTGCCCGTGGGGGACTGTCCCTCTCAGGAGCTGGAGCAAGCTTTAGGGTCAGAGCAGAGGAGGGGAAGGCGCCAGCCCCAGGGAGACTGGGCGCCCAGGCTTAGGGAAGCCGGCCAGGCACAGCACCTTCTGTCCCAGGGTTGGTCCCGAGCCCTGGGCCCAACCAGCCACGGCAGATTCGGAGGGGCCAGCAGCCTGGAATGTTCTGGTCCCAGCTGCTGCAGTGTGCACCTAGGAGGAGACGGGCTATCTACTTCGGGGGAGCAGCTTGGCGGGAGTCGGGGGTGGGGGGCACTGCAGCCTCTCTGCCTTCCTCCAGCGGGTGAGGAATGGGCAGTGACAGCTCTGAGCCTTGGTCAGGGGTGAGGAGGTAGAGTCCAGCCATGCCCAGCGTGGCCCCAGCAGGTGACAGGATGGGCAGATACAACTCTCCTTCCCAGGAGGCCTGGCCAATGGGGACAGCCTGGAGCAACCCTTTGCAGCTCTTCAAACGGAGCAGCTTTCACTAACCTCCAGGGTAAGCCTGCCCAGGGTCCCTGCAGCCCTGGGGGGGTCCCTGATATGGGCCTCAGCGTGACTGATCCCAGGGAGCGTGATCCTTCAACATGGATGCCTGGGGGGTGTTCACAAGGGTGTCTGCCCATGGGATGCTGGCGTGCAGGGTTTGGCCCATGAGGCTGAGCACCTCCCTTCTTGCACAAAGCAGCCAGAGGAGGGGAGGGCACGACAGCTCTGCTGGAGGCCTCGCAGCCATGGGAAGCCTGTTTCTGTCCCCACGTTAACCTCAGTGGGAACTGGGCCTCGCTCTCCCCTGCACAGTAGGGCTGACAGCAAAGTAGTAGAAGGGACACTGGTCTGGAGCCCTGCCCAGGCTGGCCACATGTCCTGGGCCTGTCTTGTCATCTGAAAGGCTGGACACACACCCTGCTCCCCTCCCTGGGCCCACACAGGACTCAGCTTGCAGTCCCAGGGGCAGGGCCAGGGCCTACCAGGGCGCTGGCCAGAGGCTGAGCATTGCCCCTCTCCAGGACGCAGGTGGGAGCAACAGGGAGGCCCTGGACAGAGAGCAGAGGGAGCGGCGGCGCCTCAAGGAGAGCTTTGAGAACTACCGCAGGTGGGCCCTGCTGGGGACCCCAGGCAGGCTCCCCTGCCTGCGCAGGGGACGTGAGGGGCCGCAGTGCCTTGGGATAGCGGCACTCACCTGCCAGTGCTTCCGGGTTTTCCCCAGGAAGCGGGCGCTCAGGAAGGTGCTGCACAGCTCCATGCAGGGAGAGGTGGACTGGGAGAACACCACCGGCAGCGACAACACCGACACCGAGGGCTCCTAGCAGCCCCTTAGTCCACTGCGTGTGCCGCCGCCGCCGCCGTGGAGGACCTGCAGGCCCAGTGGGGCCGCGTCCCGGGCGCTGGCTGCGCTAGGCCGCCGCCTTCTTGGCGCATCCTTTCCACGCAGGTGCAACAATCCGCGACTTCTACTGAAGTGTTCTTTGTATCTCTGTCTGCAGCAGTATTAGGGGTGCGGCTTGGTAAATAAACGGCTGCGGTCCAGGCCTGCCGCACCTGATGACCTCGCTCCTACATGCACCCCCCAGCCCCACCGGCCCACCTTCCAACCCGCATACAATTCGCAATACCGCGCTCACCTTCTAACTCCAAGTACACTTTCCAACCGCGTGCTTACCTGTCGACCCCGTACCTCGTCCCGCTACCCGCGCGCACTTCCGGCCAGCGCGCACCGCCCGCCGTCAGGGGGCAGCAGAGCCCGGGCCTACAGCGCGCGGACGGAAGCCGAAGAGGGCCGCTTAAGCCGCGTGCGCGCCTACAGGAGGCTGCAGGGCGGCCTCAGCCTCGGGGGGCGGGACGGCCAAGGCGGTAGGCGGGATGCTGCAGGTGGCCCTGGGCCGCGTGCCGTCTCTGCTGATCCGCGCGCGACCCTGGGGGCCGGGCCTGAGGCGGCTGTGGGGACGCGGAGCTCGTCCGGAGGCCGAGGGGAGAGGGCAGGCCTGGAGCTGGCGGCGCTGGAGCTCCGCGCCGGCGCACTACCAGCTCGTCTACACCTGCAAGGTGGGCACGCCCTGGGGCCGGGGCCGGGCTGCACCTGGCCTGGACAGCGCCGCGGGCAGAGGCGGCCCAGGTGCAGGGCGACGTGCGTGGAGAGGCTGCCCGCGGCGCAGCCTTCCGGGAAAGGGGCGGGGCTTTGCTCGCCGTGGGTGGAGTCACCCCAGGGGGCGGGCCCGCACCCTCAGTAGGTAGAGCCGTTCTGGGGCGGGGCCGCGCTCGCCGTGGGTGGAGTCACCTCAGGGGGCGGGCCCGCACTCAGTAGGTGGAGCCGTTCTGGGGCGGGGCCGCGCTCGCCGTGGGTGGTGTCATCCCGGGGGCGGGGCCGCGCTCGCCGTGGGTGGAGTCACCCTATCCCAAGGGGTGGGGGTCTCCTGGGATCTTCCAAGGAGGGACAGGCCGGAGCGGCCCTCTCCTGGGTTTTCCTTAACAGGTCTGTGGGACCCGGTCGGCCAAGAGCATCTCCAAGCTAGCCTATCACCAGGGCGTGGTCATTGTGACCTGCCCTGGCTGCCAGAACCACCACATCATCGCCGACAACCTGCGCTGGTTCTCAGACCTGGATGGGAAGAGGTGAGGCTGCCTGAACAGGGTTGGGGGACACAGGCTTGTATCCCAGGGCTGGCCTGGTAGGTCCTGGGCAGGTACCCCACCAGTAACCTGGGGCACCCTCCCCCAGTGAGGTTTGCAGAGCCCACCTCCTAAGCCTTATCAAAACAAGGAGCAGTTAATTTTTAAATTAAATTTCAGAAAAGCCACAAACAACTCTTTAGTTTACCCACATAAGGGGCATGTTTTATTTGCTATGCTTCCACCCTGGACCAGCCACCTTGGGTCCCACTTGATTGCCTGATCACTGCCCTCCCTGCTGGCTGGGCAGGGAGCCCCCGGTGTGTTCAGAGGCCTGGGCCTCCCCTCAGGTGAGGGGTCAGATGGGGCTGACTCTTAAAGCGATGGCGTCCTTTCTTTTTGTGGTTCCCTCTCACCCTACAAAGATTTCTCAAGGTCCTGCTCTGAGACAGGGATCCTAGCTGGTCACTTTGTGGTCCTCTGCTGACACTGGCTGGTTGACCACCCCAGCCCTGGGGTTGCATGTGAGGTGTGTGGAAGGGGCTCTGGGCCTGCAGGGTCAGCCTCACCCTTCTTGGGGAGAGCAGTGGAGTGGGGGCGCTGGTCAGGAGCCCCAGGCCAGGTGGCCCTGGGCAGTTGAATTTCACATGTGAGCAAGTGTTCCCTGAGAATGGGACAGCAATGGCAGCTGCCTCTGGGCTGTGGAGAAGGTTCTGATGCCACACCAGAGTGGGGTCCAGTGCTCCTGGCTTGGGCCTGGCCTGGGATGCCTGCAGGGCCTGAGGTGCAGGACAGGCTTGTGGCCCAGAGTGTCACAGCAACTCTCTCTCAGGAATATTGAAGAAATCCTGGCGGCCAAAGGGGAGCAGGTGTGCCGAGTTGTTGGTGAGGGGTCCCTGGAGCTGGTTTTGGAGGCTGCAGGGGCCCCCAAATCCAGCGCTGCTCCAGAGGAGGGTGAGGACCCGGATGCCAGCCACCCCAGCAAGATGGAGCCCAGCTGAGGCCTCCTGCTGCCTTGGAGAAGGGTGCTTTAGCAGGGCTCTCTGGGCTTGCCTGTTTCATATCAATAAACAGACGTCCCTTGTAGATGGAGAGGCCTGAAGCTGTCCTGTTGTCCCCTGGTTCTGGAATCCGGATGAGCCCAGGGGGCCTCTGCCCTCACCCACTGCAGGCCTGTGCAAGTGCGGTGGGGCTAGGCATGCAGTCTGAGCTCCTTGTGGCTTGGCTGGGTGGCCTCAGGCAGGTCACTTTGCCCCTCTGAGCATCTGCCTTCCCATCTGCAGATGAAGATATTCATGGTGCCACTGTGTTTGCCATATGGCCAGGAAGAGAGGACTTGGGATGGGGGCAGGAGGGCCCAGTCCCTGAATGTTGGGGCTCCAATCTTGCTGGGTTTGCGGGAGCAGCCTGGAAGGGATGGTCAGTTAGCCACTGTTCTTTCTGAGGGTGGGGTCAGCGCCCCTCTGTGGGCCCCACCTTTGGCCAGACCCATGGAGGCCCTACAGGGCGAACTGTGTCACCTGCCGTCAGTCCCCTGGATGCCCCTTGGACAGCCCTGGCTCACCAGAGCCAACCTCAGCCCCACCCCTCGTGCTGGCCAAATGGCAGGGCAGGCTGCTCGTCGTGGCTGCAGCTGGGCAGGGTGGCTGTGGTGCTGAGGGGCTGGGAGCTGGGAGGCCGGTGGGCTTTCTGCTGTGTGGTCCCCTACCTCCGCCCCCTGGGGTGTGCAGTCTGTCTCCCAGTCTTGTTTGACTGCCTTCTCAGGATGATCCTGTGTGTACGAAAGTGTGTTTATTCGAGAAGTGCTCTGGGCTGTGTGACCTTCAGCATTAATCACCAGCTACAGCCCTGAAGGATCCTGGCAGGATCCAAGCCTGTGATCACCGCCCCGCATCAGCCCCTGGCACCTCAGCATTGTTCTCCCGGCTTCGCAGTCTGTGCTCTGACTCGATTACCCCTTATCCTTCCCTTGGCAAACAACCCTCTATTACGCCCACCCAAAGCCTCATGTGCTATTTGCAGAAACAATCTGAGCTCAGACAGCCCCTGGGCCTGCTCCTCCCCGAGGTGCAGAGGAAGGCCGGGTGGGGCCTTGGCCTGGCTGCCTCTCTGCCCCCAGAGAGTTGGGACCAAAGTCTGGGGAGGCCCAGGGAGTCTTCTGGGCCTGAGTGCATAGTGGGACCTCATGGCCAATCCCTCGCTCCCCGATGGCAAGACTGAAGCCTGGGGTTTGGCTGTGTACTGCCCCTGTCTTCCATTTGTACTGATGCTTGGGTCTCTGGGCCCGGCTGAGCCCAGGGCACTGCCCCTCCCAGGTTAGTTCCTAGAGAGTAAGAGGCTTGCCCGTGAGTGCACACTGTGGCCAGGTACCGACAAGCAGGCTACCCCTGCCCCCGGCGCCCGTGAGGTCACTCACTCTGGCCCATCCTAGGCCTGCAGGCCCTGCCTCGCCATCGCTTCCCAAGGGAGCACTCCCCACAGTGAAGGCCATCACCCCGCTGCCTCCCTGCCACCAGGTGCTTCCCTGTGTGGCCCTGTGGCACGGTGCGCCATCTTCTCTTAGGATCTGAGGGTGTCTCTGCACTTTTCAGTGGTGGCATTTCCTGTCCTGTTGGCCTTACCACACTTGAATAACCGTAAAACCAACATTTTAAAGCAGTGCGGCTATCTCCCAGGCCTCTGTCCTCTCCAGTCCCTTTCAAGGCGCCTCCTGGCACCTTCTCTGGCTTCTGGCTCTCCCCTGCCTCCCGACTACCTTCCCTCCCCCAGCCCCAGTCCAGGACTTTTCTGAAGGGTCCAATTACAGAGCCAAATGTCAGGGCCGACCCAGGATGGCCGCTCAGAGCCTCAGAGCGTGGTCTTCTGCAGACACGAGGAGCATCTGCCGGAAGAGGGACTGAAGACAGTAGCAAAAGCTGGATCATATGACATCAAACAACTTTCTTCCTGCAGGACTTCTCAGAGCTCTTAGCCCCTCATTCTAACGTGCCCCTTGGTCCCCATTGGGTCCTGGGCAGGTGGGCCACAGCTCTGCAAGCTGGCAGGGAGTCGGGATGGAGAGGCGATGCTTGCCTGGCGTGTGCATGAGTCCAGCCAGGATGAAGACAGTGCCTCCCCAGTGCTGTCCTCATGCTGCTGGGCGGGTGCTGGCAGCCACTGGCGAGGTTCCATGGTGAATGGAGCCCTGCCCAGGCCCACCTTGCTCATCCACCTGCCGTGCTGGTGCCGGAGCAGCTGTGCTGGGCTGATGTCGCCTCACCGACAGGTTGTCTGGGGTCCTTTCTGGGAGGTTTCTGCTGGTCATCACTGGTGCCATGAGGATCTTCACGCCTGTGCCCACTCTAAGACCCCATTCTCTTGCCAGGCCCCGGCCACCAGCCAAGCCGCTAGCCCCTGCCTGTGCACCCTGACTTAGCCATCTCTGGCCAGAGCAGGTGCCTGGGCTGCTGCCGTGGCCTTGCCCATGGGAGGGTCCCACCTGCTGTCCTGCAGGGCCTCCCTGAGAACAGCGGGTTGTGGTGATCCCTGCTCCTCAGCATGGTGGTCCTCGGTCCGTGGCTGTGGCCGGAGGCACAGATGCTGTTCAGTACAAGACTCGGGCCCTGCTCCCGGCCCTTGAACGCGACACTCCATCCTGCACAATGCTTCTAGGCCGCCGCCCGTGCCCAGTGGTCTGGGCCAGCCCAGCCCGTGCGAGACCAGAGTGCCCTCGACTTTATGGTGGGTAAGGGTCCTTAGGACAAAAGCAGCCTGGAATATGGGGTTGGCCCCCCAGGGTTCTGCCTCGCCACTCCCAGCGCCATCAGGGGCACTCAGCACTACTTCTCGCTGTTCCCGGGGTTGGTCCGCACTCCCCCAACACGTCAGGGGTGCAAGTCTCCCGTTCAGCCCTCGCCTGCTGTCAGCCTCCCTTCAGCTTGTCTAGGGGCCCCCGCCCCCATTCTGGGGTCACCTGTTGCCCTCTGAATGCCAGGGGAGCCTGGGTGGTGTCTCTCTTAGGTGAGTCCCTGATCAGACTTAAGCCTGGGGGCTCAGTCAGCCTGGCTTGAGTTTCGGGGGCCGAGGGGCTCCCAGGGTCTGTAGCCCAGGCGTGAGGACCTGGAGACACAGGCGGGCGCCAGTGTCCTTCTGCCCTGGTCACAGCCCCCTGTGCATGGGGTGGGAATGGGAAAGGCCAGGGGTGTGTGCGGCCTTAATGGCGTGTGCCCAGCTGCCCGAACCACTCGTCCCCTAGAAGTGAGCCCCGCCGGGAGACGAGCCCCAGGC